GAACTAAGATGGGTCCTCAGAGGAGGATGGGGATATATGTCGGATATGAATCTCCCACCATTATAAAGTACCTTGAGCCAACTACTGGTGATGTATTTAAGGCCAGGTACGCGGATTGTCATTTTGACGAATCCACTTACCCACCACTAGGGGGAGATCATAATAAACATAAGCTGGTAAAGGAAATTATACGGAATCAATCATCCTTATAATGGCAAAGATCCTCGGACTATGAAATATGAATTAGACGTCCAAAAGCTAGCTAATTGCCAGATTCCTTTGACCCAAATATATAGTGACTCAATCACATATACCAGCTATGAATGCACCTATAAGAATTGATGTTCATGAAGGACGCAATCAGGTTGCTACAGAGTCTAAGGCCCGTATGAAACGAGGCAGACCAATAAGTTCCGAAGATAAAAACCCTCGGAAACAAAGAAAGGTGCTAAGAATAATTCCGAGGTTACCGTGGTGGGTACCCGTAACATAACCGAACCTCAGTTACCAAATAATGAGACTTGGGACGCCAAGATTCAAGGTACTGATGATGTTCATGATAATAATGAGATCGCGATCATTGATGTTATGTCCGGGATAAAATAGAACTGAAAAGATGTCGACGTCGACAATATATTTGCATACAAGGTAGCACTTGAAATAAAATTGATAAGCGAGGATCTATAACCCACGTCCATAATAGAATGCACTCAATGCACAGATTGGATTAAATATGTGGAGATAACCCACGTCCATAATAAGAATGCACTCAATGCACAGATTGGATTAAATATGTGGAGAAGAGGAATGTATAAGGCCACCTCTCGATATAAAGCCAGTTGGACATAAATGAGTCTTTGTGAGGAAAAGAAATAAATATGGTGATATCGTGAGATATAAAGCACGGCATATTGCACAAGGATCCTCACATAGACCATGAATATATTATGAGGAGATATGCTCCCATGTGGTGGATGCTAAGTCTGGATATATAAATGAAAAGACTTCATTTGCGGCTAATGGATGTAATGCCTGCATATTTATATAAGTCCACTGGATAATATAAGAGATTACCAGAGAGTATTGAGCTCAAATATAAGAAAGGTTCTCGAGAACATCACTGCGCATAAGGCTTGACAAATCCTTTCATGGACTTAGAATAAATGGGCGTATGTAAGATTATAAACGATCCCATCAGTCCATGAATACTCATAAAGAGGTTTGCAAACAAAGGATTTGTAATCATAAGCAGTGTATATGAACCTCTGGGTAATCGACCAAACAGTTGAAAGACCTAGGCATCAAATAAGTCATGTTTGGAATTACACCTTGAGTACATAAATAATGAAATCCTTGTGCATCAAATGGCATACAATAAAGGGTACTCAAAGGAAATTTATAAGGAATAGGCCCGCCCATTGACCAGGCCCAATGGTGGTGAGAAGCCTAAGATTGGATAGTGATCCATTCAGTCCGTAAATGTCATACCTCAGTGTCATAAGAGCTTTAATGTATCTGCCGAGCCACACTAGGCCAGATATATGTTTTGCCGTGAATCTATTATCTAGATTTATCTCATTGTCCAACCCAAAGGCACTGGGACGAGATTACAACATATTCTTCGTTATCTACAAGGTACGAAAGATTTGGGTTTATTTTACACTAACCATCACAAGGAGGGATTAGTTGGTTTTGCTGATGCAGGTTATCTCTCGGATCCGCACAATGGTCGATCACAAACTGGCTATGTTTTCACGTACGGTGGAACGGCAATATCTTGGCGATCTCAAAAGCAAACGATCGCAGCAACATCGTCCAACCATTTTGAAATCTTGGCGATACATGAGGCCAGCCGTGAATGCGTTTGGTTGAGGTCCATGACCCAACATATTATGATCGATTGTGGGATGACCGAAGGGAAGGCAGCACCAACAATAATGTATGAGGACAATGCTGCCTGCATAGCTCAGCTCAAAGATGGATACATCAAAGGAGATAGGACGAAGCACATCTTGCCAAAGTTCTTCTTCACTCATGAATTACAGAAAGCCGGAGAAGTTCAAGTCGAACAAGTTCAATCATGTGACAACTCGGCGGATCTATTCACCAAGTCGCTTCCAACTTCAACGCTCAAGAAGCTTATCAAGCAGATTGGAATGCGACGGCTTAAAGATCTTCAGTGAGCTTCAAATGAGGGGGAGTAATACGTGTTGTACTCTTTTTCCTTCACCACGGTTTTATCCCAATGGGTTTTCCTGGTAAGGTTTTAATGAGGCAACATCCCCAAGCGTATTACTAGCTCACGAAGGTTATGACATCCAAGGGGGAGTGTTATGAATCATAGTGGATTGTCATAACAAGCCCAGTAAGGCCCGGCCCATATCAAGCCCGGTCCGGCCCAATGTTATGGAGGTGTAACTTGTATTAGGGTTTACTTGTAACCTCCTTTGTATGAACCTATATATATGGCTTTAACCTAATGAATAAAGCATCCCAGTTCCCTCTCTATTCTCTATAGTCTATAACACAGTTTAGTTTGAAAACTTTTAGTTTAATTAGTTTGATTTTCAGTTTAACTTTGCATTAAGGAGAGAATGAAAAGACAAAAAAAATATCAGGGGGGAAAAAAGAGCAAAATTAAATAATACTACATTTATAGATTAAATTTTTGATAAAGTTAAGAACGCTGATATATTTAATTTTATTCGATTCGGTTACACCAAGTTTAGCTTAGTTTTCTCACCACGAAAAAATTCACAATCGAAATAAATCATAGTTGGTGTATTACTACTTATCTACTTGATATCTTTCTGAGTTATATACTTTATATATTTTTGTCAATATATTATTCAAAATAGAATTTTAAGAGAGTAGTGTAAAATTTATAAATCCACTGTTATTCAAACATGAATTTTAAAAAGTCTCATGAAATTCACTGTTATTCAACTAATGATTTCAAAATCCACCTTAAAATCCACGGTTATTGAAAAAAATTTGTGGATTTGGCTTTTAATGATTTTGAAGGATTTCAGAGGATTTGGGAGGATTTCTTTAGTTAAAAATACAGAAATCCAAATCTCATGATTTTTGGTGAGATTTGAAAAGATTTTACAAAAGTCATATGAACTTCCCTAAAATCATCAAAATAATTTAAAAACTCAATAAACTTCAAATCTCTTAAAATTCCATTTTGAAATACACCCCTCTAAATAAGCGGATTTAAAATTCAATCTGTAATACAAACTACTAGACTACATCTATTGTTTGAAACCAAATTTCCCAAAATCACAATTTTAATAATTTACTACCAAATATATTTTTGTCAAAACATATACAAAAGTAACATAGATGATGGATACATGCAAAATCAAACAACTGATAATTCTTTTATTTCAGATAACAAATTCAAAGAACAATAAACAACAACAATGACATGAAAACTTGGCAGCAACAACAACAAGACCAAATCAAGGGAAAGTAAACAACAAAGAAAACACAAACACAAACACGAGAATAGAGAATTTTGAAGAAATCCCAAACTATATGCAATTGAGAGCTGCCTTATTAGCTTTTTTCGAGATCAAAGCGCTTTGCATGGCCATATGCATCTCAATCTGCATCCTCTCCACTTCTCTTTGAGCCTCTAACATTGCAGCTAGCTCTGAGTTCACAGAGCTTTTGCTTCCTCCTCCTTCTTCTTCTTTTTTCTTTGCCTCTTCCTCTTTCTTACACGAGTGTAAATGCGTTGCGTAATCACATTTCTTGCAATAATACGACCAGAGATTATCCGGTACGATATCTTCACAAACATCGCATTTGGAAACCAAACCGGGTTGGTTATAAGGAGAGCCGTAAAGAAGAGTGAGTGGGTGTGCGTGTTCTTCACGCTTCACTGTTTCAGGCATTGAAACACATCCGACATGTACATCGTACTGACATGACGCACAGTTGTACGTGAAACTTGACCCGTACTCACCGCAAGCATTACACGTGTACGTTGACTTTGGTGAATAGAGCAAAGTCAAAGTGTGGGGTTGGTGAGACTTGTGGTTGGTTTCACGAGGAAGGTCAAAGCATGACTTGTGCAAGAAGTAATCGCAATCTGATGACTTTGTGCATTTGAAAGCTGCACCAACCAGATCAAGATCACAACCCGAGCAGATGATTTCGTCCTTCGCTTCGCATTTGTGACCGCGAAGTGGATGGTTGTGACTCGGGTGCCTCACAGATTGTCGTGAAGACATTGTAGTATTGATCAATGTTCTTGATTTGGTTATTTGAGAGGTTTTTGTTTGTATTTGTGATTGTGATTATCTTAGGGTTATAATCTATTTATAGCGAAAAATGGAGAAGACTTGATGATAATGGTCTTGGTTTTGAATTTGACTATTATAACAAGTTGTAGTTTATAGTGATTAACTATATATTTGGGAGAACAAAGTCATGGTCTAGGTTATATATAAAAGTATATAACATAAGATGGTTCACATTTGAGATTCAAAGTCAAGATATGCATTATGCATGAAACCATTTGCCGATCTCATTCACGCATCTGTTTTTTTTTTTTTTTTCTAATGTTATAATTAGCTGACTAGTTGTAAATTAAGGTATCAATATTGGATTATCATTATCAAGTTGGGGATAAATAACAATAACGTTGACATAATGACGGATGCTAATGTCAATACTAATCACAATGCCTTTGACTCTAACGCGGCCTGACCTATATATCCACCGTCTATACTCCTTAATTACATAATGTGTTTTTCTGAAATGCATAAAATAAATAAAAAAGTTGTACTGTGACTGAATATAGTTTCCATAAGAATTGTCGAAAATGGTAAAAGAATCATTGGAGATAAAAATACAATGAAAAAGAAACACATCAAATAATATTAAAAAAGGTTTAACGGAAAATATCTTATAAAAAAACAAACATAGAAGTAATTATTATATTTAGTTAGTGTATATCTTTGAATTTTGATTCGGTTGTGTTAAGTACGTTCACAAGTTTCAAAACTTCGTATGGGGTGAATCATGAAGGGATCTGAAATAGAGATGGTCATAATTTACAGATTTGGAAAACAATTGATTAAGGAATCACTGATTGATTTGGCCAATAGAGATTAGAATCATTGAGGAACAAAAAGAATGGAAACTTAATCATGCAAAAATAAACTTGTCAATTTATGTCACTAATTAATTATTACGTAGAAGATTTTGCATGATTTTCTAATTACGATTCGATTCATACATGACAGTATTTTCACCGATGGTCTGATTGTGTATAAATTGGAATATTTTTGACAAGGTCACTACTTATAACAAACGTTACATACGAATATACGATCAAACTCGGTTTCATACGACAAGCTCATGGTCAGGACAAGGAAAATTCGGATTCCGGCTTTTGATAACTCGGATTTAATCGCAAGGTTAAAGAGGACGACCCTCATCGGTAGGATTATGAATCCTGACGTCCAAAGTGTTGGATCACTAGTTTTGATGATGCCTAGACTTTGGAGACTAGAGGGTCGAGTCGTTGGGAAGGACTTGGGATCAGGAACGTTCAGGTTTGATTTCGAGAGAGAGGAAGATATTCTCGAGGTGATGAGAACGGAGCCTTTCAATTTTAACCAATGGATGGTTTCGATTGTGAGGTGGGAACCTATCATAAACAAGAACTACCCATCTGCCATAACGTTTTGGGTTAGAATTGTAGGTGTTCCTTTGCGTTTCTCGACACGTGAGACCTTCGAGGATATTGGGGAGGAGCTAGGTATGGTTCAAGAAGTGGATGAAGAAAACAAGAGGGTCAAAGTGACTATTGATAGTACTAAGCCATTGTGCTTTGAAATACCGATACAATTTGGAAAAGGTGGTAAGGAGGTGATGGTGCGGATGGAGTATGAGAAGCTTTTCGGGTACTGTGGTTCTTGTTTTAGTCTTCGTCATGATGAAGAATGTTGCCCACAAAGTGACTTGCACCACGAAGCATGAAGAAACGAACTAAAGATGGTTCACATTTGGGATGCATTAACTATTCACGAAGTCTTTTAGTTTTTATTATGTATTTGTTTTCTCTAATGATGAGAAAGTATGGTATTCGAAATTTTAATGAAATAATGTGAGAAATAAAAGCCTTTGATTCAAAAGTATAATGTTTGTTTTTGGTTGGATCTATACTGAAACTATAAAAGATTATCTCGACTCAAACCTATACCAAAAGTATCAAAGATCTTATTTTTGTTTTTTTGGTTGGATCTATACCGGAACAATAAAATATTTTCTCAAACGGCCTATACCAAAAGTATCAAAGGTATAGTGTCTTATTTTAAAATGCGTTATTATCTAAAACGTGTATTAATTAGAGTGCAAATTGAGTTTTGAGAAAGTGTGCTAGTGTGTGTACTAAAATGTGTGTTAGAGTGCAACTGAGTTTTGAGAAAGTGTGTTATTTGCTAATTCCCCAAAAGTAAATTTGTGTTCCCTCGGAGAATATGGTTTGGTCAACCAAATCATCAGTTTCAAGTCGTATAATAGTGAAGGCAGACCATTATTCATAATTAAGAGCATATTTTATAACTTACATTCAGACAAAAACTTAACTAAAACATAGATAAGAAAAACAGAAGTAGTAAATTAAAAGAAAGTTGCATCGTATCTCAAGTTAGAAACACCAAAGAGTGGCTTCTCTCTTTTATCTTTTCATCTTCTTTTATCAGTCGCTCGTCGTAAGAGAGGATAGTCCATGGTACGTACCTCCTGTTACTTAAGATTCGATTTGGTATCCGAATCATCATCATCATCTTCTTGTTCTTCTTTTTCTTCTTCTTGTATCAGTCGTCGTAAGAGAAGATAACCTTCTTACAGCAGACTCCTCCCATCATAGGTACCACCTGTTTCTTAAGATTCGGTTTGGTCTCCAAATCATCTTCTTCTTCTTCTACTTTTTCTTCTTCTTCTTCTTCTTCTTCTTCTTCTTCTTCTTCTTCTTCTTCTTCTTCTTCTTCTTCTTCTTCTTCTACTACTTCTTCTTCTACTTTCTTCTTCTACCTGGAGGCTTTCTACCTTAGACCTGGAACATCAAAAACCCTTGTCATCTCGCCTTCGACCTTGATAGCAAAACTCAAAAAGGCAACTAGTACTTAAATCACTTACCAAAGTTTCTCTGCAAGGTTGTACCTAATCAACAACAACAAAATAGCTTTAAAGACATGAAAACTATAGCAAGAAGTTATATAAAAACAAATCTCCATATGGGAAAATCAGTGTTACTTGGGTCGGAGAGGGTATGGAGCTATCTCAGCCACGTCTAGAAAAAGCTCACGATTGTTCTTCTTTACCAGTGCCTACATCATAAAAGATTTAATCAGCAATCGTAACCTAATTCTTGTATAATTTTCATCATAAGTACACTATTCTTCAAATGAGACTATACTTAAACACTTATGGTCATTAAAACAAACAACTCTCACCTTCTCTGCTACATTAGCAGAAACAAACTCAATAAAGCCACATCCCACATGCTGACCCTTGTAGTCTACAATTATAAGTCTAAGAAGAACAACTCGTCCAACAGTTTTGAAAAAATCGATGCTGTAAACATATGAAGGATATATAAATACATCAGTCATGAAAAACTTGCTTCAAGAACGAAACTAAAGGTGCTATACTTAATTACATCTTTGGTATTGTAGTTTTGCAAGGGATATTCGCAATAAAGAGCGTCTTTCTTCTCGCAGCGACTTCCTGAAATTTAAATTGCATAACACTTGTGTTATTAAACTCATAAGCATTTCTTCTAACCTCTACATATTTTGAAAAAGAAATAAAAGAACATGTACGTACCTCAATATAATCAAGAATATCTCACTAAGTCCTTCCACTGCCTCATCTTCCTCTATCAGAAGGCTTTCTTGTCGAAGGTAGTCTTCATACCTGGAATATCATTAAAAAAAGAAAAAAAGATCTTTCCATGGATACCAAAAGCTTCACCCAATGTGCTCTTCTTGATAACAACAAACTCAAGATGCAAATAGTTAAATCCCTTACCAAACCTTGTGATCTATGCAATACCTAGTTAAACAAAAATAATAGCGTACGTTAGTCTTCTGTTATGGTATTATTAAAACTCTAGCAATAAGTTACACATAAACAAATCTTCATAACAATATGGAAAAATCAATATATATACTTGGGTCGTGGAGGGTATGGAGCCTTAATTATCCTCTCTTAACGATATCTGATAATCATGCAAATATATTCACCATTATTTGTTTCCAGTGCCTACAGTATAAAAAGATTCAATCATCAATCCTGATCATTTCAAAATGAACACTTTCATCATTACTATAAACTACTCTCTCACTTTCTCTGCTTCGTCCGCAGAAGCAAACTCAACAAAGCCATCGCCTACATGCTTGCCCGTGTAGTCTACAATAAGTCGAAGAGAAACAACTTGTCCAACATCTTTGAAGAAATTGATGCTGTAAAAATGGAGGATAACATATTAGTCATTAAAAAACTTGCTCCAAGAACGGAAGAACAAAAAATTGAAGGTGCTACTTACATTTCTGATATTTCAGCTTCTCGAGGGAGACGGAAACAAAGAGTGTTCTTTTTCTTGCAACAACTGCCTGAATATAACAGCAAAGTGCGTTAGACTTAGTAGCACGACATAAAAATTGCATAACAACAAAAAACAGACTCATCTCCAGAATAAGACATCTATCGACTTTGTGGCAACAGTTATGTCTAAGCCTGAAATATATTGAAGATATAATAAGAACATGTACCTCAACCACAAAATTGGGAGTTTGGTCATCTTCTTCTATCACAAGGTTTTGTCGTCGAAGGTAGTCTTCGTAACTAAAATATCAAAAACCTTAGTGATCTCTCCATGTACTGTATGCCAAAAACACTTCACACTCGATCACAAAACTTAAAATACAAATAGTTTAATCCTCTTACCAAAGCTTCTCTGCAAGGTTGTGCGGCTTGTGCCTAATTACCAAAAATAATAGCGTTACTACTCTATACCAATAATAATAAGTCATAGCCAATGTTTACATACACTAGTCTCCATATATAACATGGAAAATCAATTTACTTGGGTCGTGGAGGGTATGGAGCTGTCTTAGCCACTTCAAGAAAAATCTTGTGATCATGCAAATATTCACCATTCTTCTTTTCCAGCGCCTAGAGTGTATAGAATATTTATTCACTCAGCAAACTTACTTTCAAATAACTACTTGTGTATTTTTTCATCATTACTACAAAAGTATTCTAACCTTCTTTGCTTCGTGAGCAGAAGCGAAGTCAACAAAAGCATAGCCATCATGCTTACCCTCGTGGTTAACAATAAGTCGAACACTAACAACTTCTCCAACATCTTTGAAGAAATCTTTGCTGTAAAAGAAGAGGTTAAAATATAAGTGTAATGGAAAACTTGCTCCGAGAAAGAAAGTGAAGTTATAAGCTAGTGCTACTTACATATCTGAGATGAGTTTAGTTTGGGGAGAGAGATTGGCAACAAAGAGTACTACATCCTGAATTTTTAACAACCAAGTGTGTTAGCAACAACTCTCTAGGAGAGAAGGACTTAAAATTTCATTAACACCAAAAAAGTGGCCTCAGCTGAAGATTAATCAAGAACATGTACCTCAACAAAATTGGGAGGTGTCTCATCTTCTTCTATAGGAAGGCTTCCTCGTGGAAGGTAGTCTTTGTAGCTGAAAAAAAAAAAAAAAAGACTAGTGAACTCTTCATGTATACCAAAAACTTCATCCAAGGTGCTCTAGATAACAAACTCAAGAGGTAAATTGTTAAATCACTTACCAAACCTTGTAATCTATGCAATACCTAATCAAAAAAATAAAGCGTTAAGTCTTGTGTGATATTGTAATCAAAACTCTAGCAATAATTAACAGAAACAAAGATCCCATAACATTGAATAAAAAAAATCAATATACTTGGGCCGTGGACGTATTGGAGTTTTTTTAACGGCTCTAAGGATTATCTGAGAGCCGAGCAAATATTCACCATTCTTCTTTTCCAACGCCTACATAGGATAATTAAAAGATGATTTAATCAAGCAGCAATTATAAGTAACATTTTTGCATCATTACTATAAAACCACTCTTTACCTTCTTTGCTTCGTTAGCAGAAGCAAACTCAACATGCCCATAGCACAAGTGGATACACGTGCGGCTTACAGAGAGTCGAACGCGAACAACTTTTACAACATCTTTGAAGAAATCGATGCTGTCAAAAAGGAGAAATAAAACATTATCAGTCATGGAAAACTTAAATTAACTAAGGTGGTGCTATAACTTACATATCTGATATTTTAGTATGGTGAGGGAGACAGCAAATAAAGAGCATCTTTGTTGTTACGGCCGCAGATTCCTGAATTTAACAGCACAAGCGTTGTTAGTTAACATAAGATGCTTCATTGAACATGAGGAGACACAATGTAGAGTTAGATAGAGGGCAGCAATGTTATTAGGTGAAAAGTTCCTTGTTTGGGCTTAGAGAGATTTAATTAGGTTACCGTGTATCCCAAGGTTTCTCAAACCCTACTAATCTTATAGATATATGTGTTATGTTATGGGCTGGGCTTTTTTACTGGTTGGGTAGGTTTATGTGAAATATGAAGGAAATATCAGAAATTACAATTTAAAAGAAAAAAAAAAAAAGGAAATACTATGAAGGAACCACCAAACAATTGAGGTGTGACCCTCACGGGAATTTATTTGCGACATTTGTCTCTCAATCGCTCGAGGCACTTATAAAACCCTAAAACTCAAGAGCTATCCTTCGCCGCTGGATCCTCCTCATACGTTGGTCAGATTCTTTTATCTCTCGGCGAGGTATATAAGAAAATGGCTTCACGCTTTTTACTTGCTTTCTTGAATGTTTTTTGTTAAGTGTTTGATGAGGTTCCTATGTTGATTTAGTATCTTTCTCTATCTTTGACTTTTATACAACGGCAAGGTCATCATGCTCATGCGTCAGATGACGACGACTCAGATATTGTTATACAACTCGAATTTAGTCAGAAGGTTAAAGAGGACTACGCTCATCGGTAGGATAATGAATCCTGAGGTTCAGAATATTGACTCATTGGTTACGACGATGCCTAGACTCTGGAAACTAGAGGGTCGAGTGAAAGGGATGGGCTTGGGATCAGGAACGTTCAGGTTTGATTTCGAGAGAGAGGAAGATCTTCTGGAGGTGATGACGATGGGGCCTTTCCATTTCAATCACTGGATGGTTTCCATTGTTCGCTGGGAAAGGATTATACACAAGGACTACCCGTCGTCCATCACGTTTTGGGTTCGAATTGTTGGTCTTCATCCGGATCTCTGGACTTATCAGAATATCCGGATGATCGGGGATCAGCTGGGCACGGTTGAAGAAGTGGATGAAGGGAACGCTATGGTCAACGTGACTATCGATAGTACTATGCCTTTGTGCTTCGAAATGCCTGTTAAGTTTGAAACTGGTGGTGGGGATGTGTTGGTGAAGATGGAGTATGAAAAGCTTTTCGGTTACTGTTCTTTTTGTTTTAGTCTTCGCCATGATGAACTATCTTGCCCAGTAAGCGACTTGTGCAACTAGGAAGAGAATTTTTCGAGTTAATTGGACTAATATGGTTCACATTTGGGATCTAAGTAAAGTGATGCATGCATATATTTTCCGATCTCATTTACGCATCTTGAGATCTTAGTATGTATGCATCTCTAATGAGAAAGTAGAGTAGTTAAATCATCAATGAATATGAGGAAACTTAACCTTTAATGATTCAACTATTTGGATTTCAAACTGTCAAAATCACAGGTAGTAAAGAACTATAACTCCAAATTGCAAACTGCATCTTGCAGTTTCTTTTTTAATCCCCAAAACTCAAAACAAAAGACCAAATATCTTTTATATTTCCTGTAATCCATGTACAGATGTACTGACCAAAACCGGTCGGATCTATGTAGTCAAAATTTTAAGACAACCCAAGTTACAAGCAATGGGTTAAGGTTTATCACTTTATCTCCTTCTCATTTCCTAATATACTCACAACTTGAGTCAAGGGTATAAGGATTTATGTACCAGTAATCTAGCTAGCGAGTCTCCTTGCACTCTTGATTGTTGCAACACAGTAATGCAATCTCCAGAGCAAAATGTCATCCTGAAACAGACATTTGTTGTAAACAGAGTTATAGTTTTCCATATGAACTATTTGACCGGGAGTCTAAGTCACCAAAAGATTTCATGATTCCTTACTTCCTCCTCCATGTTGACGATAACATCATCAGGCATTTCTCTCCCCAAAGCTACATAGTGGTTTTTAATGATTTCAGCAACGCGTTCAAGATTTGGTCCAGGTAGCTCCTTAATTGATTTCTGAAGTTCCCGCTTCTCACCACGGCGCATAGGTCTGTTGACAAGACTTAACAAACAAACACATAAGTAACAATTGGAAGAAGAATATCTAACTATATATATGGAGAGATAGAAGGATAAGAGACTGTATATCAAACCTGCATGTGGTGACCACGTTGTCAAGTACTTTCTCAAGTTGCTGCTGCATTTCGTTGATCTATTCAAAGCAGAGAGAAAAGCATAACATTAGATGTTTTGGGAGCTCGAAATGTTAACAGATTAATAATGTTCCTTAGAGAATTACTTGGGAACGAAGATCACTCGAATGTTTGCTCACTATTTCCTTAACAAGACTAGGATCAGACTTCATAAGTAACTTTAAATCATCCTCCACCTAAGGAAACAAATGTGAGGAACGAAAAGGGTTTGATAAATATCTATCAGGCAAAGAATGTAAGAACCATATTATCTCACCTCTTTAAACGTAGGATCCGCAGGAATCACAGGCTCTTCATCAGTTGGTGGTATAGATGGTTTTTTGTTACTCAATTGAGACATCAGGTGCAGTGATTCAACACGTGACTGCATCTGCAAACGAATTGGGTAAACATTAATATCTCTCAATTAAAAGCTAAATCTAAAGCCTCATCAAACTAAATATATATTCCAAAATAAGTCAGAGTACCTCATCAGCCTCTGGAACGGAATCCAACACGCACTGCCTTAACAAGGCATTCAACTTCTCGTTTTTGAGATCAGACAACTCAGCTCCTATAACTTCAGAAGAAGACTTGTGAGTAGCTTCATGTTTATGATGAGGGACCTTCTCTTCTTGAGACAAGAGGTCTTCTACTTGAGCTCTATAGTAGCCAAAAAAGTCTGGTCCATTCCTGCTCCTCTCCAATGAAGGAGGCATATCTTCTGATGTTCTTTTAGTCATAGCTGTTCTCAGTTGAGGAGATATAAAAATTGAAAATCTCAGCAACAAGCCACAATGCCAAGAAATCTTAAGCAATACCATACTAAACCAACATTGTCTGTGAATAAAATCAAAACATAAGCACACAAATCTTCCACAATACCCAGATTTTTTTTTTTACCCACATTCTTGGTCCTGAGATCAACAAGATTAGTTCAAAATATATGATACACAAAGCGTAAAACAAAACCTAAGATATATATCAAAATCATCGATTTTAGGGATGAACACGACCACCTTATAATACTGTAAAATTCCAAATTCTAAGCCCTAAGGTTAAAAAGAGAATCTCAGAGAGCCTAATGCAGCAAGATTGTGACCATAACATCAGAACATGTCAAGCGATTATAATATCGTACAATTTCACAGATGAAATCGAAATTTCGAAAGATTGATGAAATTTGTTTCACAGCGACCTGCCAAAAACTCAAAACAAAATCGAAATACACCATGAACACAACAGAGAAAGAAAGAGAGAAATAGTGTTCTACATGAGCATTGGCGAGACGAGACAAGTAGAGACGAGCGATTTCAAAACTCAGCAATATTGTAAAATAGCGAGGTTTCGCTTTTCTTGATGCTGAAGAAGAAATGAAAGAGCGAGTAGAGAAAAAAAAAATACACTAACCGAATCATACGCCACCGGAAAAAGGAACAGTGAACGCTGCGACGAAGCAGAGGGAGCCAAAGTTCTAACGGAAAGAAATGTCATCTTCTCTAATCTCTCACTGATCTTTTTTTATCTGCGGATATTAGACTGTATGCCGTCTTGTCGTTACTCACAACAGAAACTACACGTCGTTTCTTGATGTAGACTAGCACGTCACACTCACACGTGTTTAATTAGATTATATTATTGGAAAATTGTAAATAAAGAAAGAAAGTATACTTGTAGTCAATTAAATATCTAATTTTTATTAACTTTCTAATAAATTACAATTATTTTTTACTTTGCTAAATAAAATTATGTTTTTTCTAACTAAATTATTTTTCTCTAATTTTTAAAGTTTTTAACCCTAAATTGATTCTCGATATCGAAAAAAAAATCATAGGAATTGATTTAATCCGTTTGTCTTGGAATTTCTGTGATAATGACTTTCAATGCATGTTGTAAAACATTCGAATATCACATTTGTATTAATTTTTACAATATTTAAAATTCCATTTACTGTCCCTACCAAAAAAAAATTCCATTTACTGTTTAAAAATATATCAATAGAGAAACCAGTCAAAAAATTGTTCATCATTTACTTTAATATTGTATCTTATTTGGAAAGTTATGCAAAGTTATTGAAAGTTCATGATTTATCTAGAAAGTAATTAAATTTGGACATTTTATTCACCATAAGTAAAATTCATGATTTTTTTCAACGCTTTTTGTAAGTTCATGTTTTTTATTTACATTATCCCCATATATTTGAGTATTATTGTTTCTACATCTCTTTATTTTTACCTCATTTTGATCCTTTGTATATTTTCTTACAAATTTTGTATTTTCAATATTGTTCTTTTTTATTCATCACATAGATATATATTGGTAATTAAGTTTATCACAAAACAAAGCGCAAGAAGAACATTGTATAAATCTATTTTTTTAACATCTTTTAACTTTATTAATTAGGTATAAATATAATACAAGAAATTTTCAAGCCAAAAGGGAACAATACACATCTAACACAAAGATCGAACTGAAAGAGCTGAACTTCTTGAAAATCCACTCTATATGAAATTCATACGAATTTCTAAGCTGAACTCAACTTTCCAATTCAAAATATTAGTTAAAAGTATTAATATCCAATTTTATAAAAAAAGTATTAGTTAGATACTCAATGAAGCATTCAATTAATTAGATAAATAGATACAATTTTGAATAGACGACAAGAGCTATATCTAATCCCATTTAATTTGGGCTTGAATCATGTAGACCCTCTAATGCGGTTTGAATGTTTAACTAACCTATCAATGATTTGTATAGGAAAAACGTTAATTAACCTCTGCATTAAAATTTTCGTTAACTAAGGAGGTGTTATTAGACTGAGGGTTTTAATAGATTTTGATTTATCATGTGATATAAAAGATTTTAAAGTCTAGTTTTTCTTATGCATATCTCGTAGATTTGAATGTTATTATTATCTATCTAATATTTTGAGCTTCTTGTCTATGTGTGGTAAGAGGATCTACGACAACAATTTTAGAGGAATTCAATTTTTATTGCAAAATGAACGGAAATGATTAACCGGTAAGTCCACTTTATTTGTCACTAGTCGGTTGTCCGCGCTACGCGCGGGAGTTTATTATATTGTTTATGAGTAATTGGTTCGTATTTTATTTCCTACTTATTTTTTTCACTATACCTTATTTTACTTCTTTTAAAACTTAAATTGTGTTTGTATAGAAAAACTATTGAGTTTTAGCTTCATTAGTCATTGAGAAATTAAGTGTGTATAGTATAAGTCGAAGTGTGAGCGTAAATGGAAGTGCTGTTGATAATCATTGAGAAACGTGTACTATTAGGGTTTTTACCAAATATAGATCTAGATGTTAATTTTTTGGGCCCTTTTATATGTTGGCATGAAATTTGAACATGATTTGTGGGTTTCGGGCGGATTGTTATATTTTTAATTGTTTACATTATCTCTTTATATATTGTCATAATTTTTTATTTTTTGTTTTACGTTTTCCTTTTTTGGATTTGTCGTACTTTATATCTCGTAATTATCATTTATATACTATTATATATTTTTTCTGATTTTATGTTTTATATATTTTTTTGTTTTTTCATATGGAACAATTTTTAAATTTAACATATTAGTATAAATTACTTTATATTTAGTTTATTTCATTTAATAATGTTTTATTTTAATTTTCAATTTTATGAAATATAGTTAATTTTTTATTTTGTTTATTAGTTTAACATATGTGTTGTATTGGAAACAAATAGTTAAATTCATATTGGAAACTTTTAAAGAAATATTATTTTTATTTTTACTTTTTTATATGTTTATAAAAAAAATGAAAATTCATGTTTCGGTCCGACCTATATCATTTATGTTAGAAACTTTTTTGAGACATAAATTAGATAGATTTATATTCTCAAAATTTCTTACTTTTTGTTCTATTCCCGTTAAATCCCATTATATTTAGGTTTACATTGTGTAAATATAATCATATATATATTTTAAACATTCACTAAAAACTATAATCTATTATTTATATATTTGTTAGTATAATCGATAATTAGTAAGTTTTTTAACTTTTAATCAATTATCTTTTTTAGTTTTATAATGTATAATATAAAAAAAGACCTTTCATATTCATTTTTGAAAAACTTATTTATATAGGTTTAAATATTAAAATTAAATGATAAAATGGTATAATTAATTTTAAAAATTAAATAATAAAATGAGGTGGATGATGATGTGGCTTAAGGAGAAGAGAGAAAAAGTTAACTTTATATATATAGATAACTCATAACTTAACTTTTATGTATGTCATAAAAAAAATTAACTTTATGTGTAATAGAGTATAAGCTTAAGATATAAAACCTTACATCAAAATATATAAAATAGTACATCATAAAGTTGATAATAATTATAAGGGATACACAAAGCGGAAAAACTTAAACCATCCCAAAATTTATAAAAGATAGAAGAATTATGATGACCTTAAAAAAAATATAACAAAAAAATAAACAAGAAAAAGATAAGCAAAAAAATAAGTAAAACTAAGCAAAACATAAAGAAAATAATTATATTCGAATTTAAGTCCTTAAAATAAATTAGATGATTATCAATTACATACATGCACAAACAATATAACAATAATACTTCAAGAAAAATCAGTTTATATATGTTTATCTCTAAGCTTTAGCTTTATATGAGTATCTCGTCGAGATGTCATTGTGAATTGGTGATTCCCATACATTTACTCGGTATAAAAACTACAATTGAACCTAAAAACATCTTCAATAGGGGTGTTTAGTGGATTGTTAAGAGTTGTTTAAGAGTAAAATTGATTAAATTTAATAGAACCCATAAAAAATATTAAAGATCGATACTTAATTAGTGGTTTTAATTAAGCATCACCTAAGAATTATGACGTGTCGATCATTGATTGGATGATATATATTTATTTTCTTCTCTCGTGTGTCTCTCTCTCATGTGCGACGACAAAGACTGATCTCGTTTTTATCACCGTCAGTGACTTTGGTTCAAGGATGCTCCGATCTCTTTCTCATGGTTTCTAACTGATTTCCTCTGTATATTGTGATGAATAGGTATATGTGAAACGATATCTAAAATAAATTACAATTAGCAGTGTAATTGTAATTATTTCTCTTGGACTTTCTTAGTTTTCAAATAATATTCAGATTTTAAATATACAATATGTCACACTCATGCGCACTATAGTTATATATGTCTTAGTTAATTAACAATGACCTAAAAACACTTATTAGAATCTACAAAAATCTTTGAGAATTTTAAAATCTTTAAAACTTTTGAAATCCACAAACTCTTTTAGATTCAACCTCCCAATAACCCCCCAAGAATCATCATTAACTCGTACGTTTATCTTGGTCACGGAAAAATTGAAAGAGAGTGTTCGTAATTAAAAATGTTTGACCGCATCAAGAACCTGTTTCGACTTTCTAATATTTTGGTTTACTAATCATTTGAATTTAATGTTGTGAATAGATTCTTGGTAATGAAGTATCCAATGCATTTAAGCTGCTCCATCGCGGGAGGAGTTTAAGCTTTTTCCAAAAATGTGTTCGTAATTAAAAAAAACTGGACCGCATCAAGAACTTGTTTCGACTTTGTAATATTTTGGTTTACTAATCATTTGAATTTAATGTTGTGATTGGATTCTTGCGAATGAAGCATCCAATACATTTAGCTGCTCCACCGGAGGAGGTTAAGCTATCACATTTACATAAGTACAAGTACTGTATCTAGTTAAGATTATTCTAGAATCAGATTTTCTTTATTTCTATATTTTTGGCTTATCTCGATGGATCACCCATTCTCCATCTCTCAATACCCAAAAGCTCCTTAAACTAGATCAAGTAGGAAATTTATATATCTGGAAGGAGGGACAAAAGTAATACATGCTTTGGGATTCTTTGGATGAATATTCATTCACACTATTGAATGGGAAAATCATGCAGTTCTTGGACATATATGTTACCACGTCCTTGCAGCTGGCTCTGGCTGAGGCAACTGCAAGTCTGTAACCAACCTGAAAAGTTATGTAAACGAGTGGAAAATTTGGTGATGCACCTATTGCAGTTGATTTTTGTCTTCAAACCAGTTTTTATGTTTATTATATTTTTGGAAAAATAAAATTTTTGTGGTATTTTTGGAAAAACAACCACAAATTATGATATTTTTGTAAAAATAAACGTAAAATGTAGTATCTAAGAGAATTTCTCTTTGTTTTATGGTTTTTCAAACTGCATTGTTTTGTATTTTCATATATTTTTCTAAAGGGTCGGTCCAGCATGAGACCCAATACTCAACAATTTTTTTTTGTTTGAATTTTGTAGATAATATTTAAAAAATAAGATCAAATCTCAAAAATTCATAAAAATATGGTCTGTTTTTTTTTTTTTTTGTTAAAAGGCTTTCAATTAAAATGCATAAAAGGAAATACAAGGATATTATGTTGAGATCATATAGTTTTTGAAAGTTAAGAGATAGGAGATCATGCGAAAAACATATTCTAATAAGGGAAAAAGATAGAACTAGTGAAAAATTAATTCTCTAGTTATTTTTTGGATCGATTAGCCCCAACCACCGCGGCCACCACGACCACGTTTACCCCGTCCTCCTACCGTAATCCATTGACTAGTGAAATGTGGTCTGTTTTTTGCAATAACAAATAAGTAATTTTCTAAAATTGAGAACAAATCTTAAGCATTCATAAAAATGGGGCATATATTTGTAATAATAAATTGTTTTTGGGGCCTAATTCTGTTAGTAAAAATTTCAAAAAGCTAGAGGCCCAATACTAATGTATTTTAGAAATAGATCGCGGGTCGGACCTGACTGTAACCAACTTGAAAAGTCATGTAAACAAGTGGAAAATGTGGTGATGCACCTATTGCAGTTGATTTTTGTCTTCGAAAATCAGTATTTTATGTTTATAATTTTTTTTGAATAATAAAACTTTTGTGGTATTTTGAAAAAAAAAAACAAATTATGGTATTTTTGTTAAATAATCGTAAAATGTAGTATCTAAGGGAATTTCTCTCTGTTTTCTGGTTTTTTCAAACTGTATTGTTTTGTATTTTCAATATATTTTTCTAAAAAACAAATTTCATTTTTATCTTTATTATTTCTGTTTATTAATTAAAATTTTGAATTTTTAATGCCTCGTATTAATAAAGGATAGTAAAAGAAAATCCAAATTAGTTTAACTTTTTCAAAATATTTCTCCAAAATAGACAATGTGGAATCATTCATAGACGAATCCGGTACTTGTGCTTACAACATCAAAACACATATACGACTGAGCTCGGTCTAAAACCATATTTGATATGGATTCGACCCTCACTAGAAGGTTCACTCACTAGTAAAAACAGTCGCACACAAAAAAAAAACGTTAACCTCTCTACACCAATTCATCAAATCTTTGAAGATGAATGGACCATCAATAGACATCAAGCTTTGTGCTCGCGGTATTGGACAATGGCTTCAGGCTGAAGACGACCAGTGCAGATTTGGTGGACCGTTGAAAAGAGCGGAAACATCTCTACCCATCCACAATGGTTCAACACCTCGTAGACCTCTCTTGCTGTTGATACTCCCTTTAATAAATAATCAGACATAGACACAGAGAATTTAGGACTAGCTATAATCATCACAAGCATAATGCAGATTAATCAGACATAACTAAGAGTATTGGTTCTTCTCTATAGATTTGGTGGTCTACCTGTAGCTTTTGCCCTTGTAACATCTCTGCTTCAAGCTCGTCAAAAGATCTGTGACATTTACACAGCAAACCCATCAAAACACTAACTAGAAGCAGTTGAAGTGAACAGCTGGAGATCAATTTGATTAACAAAGGTAATACCTTTTTCCTCCGCTTTTTGCATATGCTTCCGCAACTCTTCGGTTTCTTCCTCCTACTGTAATACTCAGTGAAAGAAGAGTCAAAAGGGTATCACTATAACAATGGACCAAAAAAGTAAAAAATAACTCAGGTTTTATTCAGTTCTTACAGCAAGTTGTAATGACATCTGCTACACCACAGCTCTCGAAGAAAGTACTGTCTTTAACAGATGGAAACAGAAGCTTTGAGAGCGCTTTCATCTCTCTTAGACCAATCCTCATGATTGCAGCCTAAAAAAGATTTAAAAGTAAATAGATTGAGATCTCTCTAAACCACTTATGTCTCTTAATAGAAAGCTATAACAAACCTTCTTTTAACTTACCTTTGTGTTATTACCCATTTCCAAACCATCCACAAAACCCGCTGCAATAGCCACTACATTCTTCAAGGTACCACACAATTCTACTCCTTCCACATCATGGACCTGTTTTTAACACAAGATTCTTTATATTTTTTCAAAATTCTGCAATCCTAGATGGTATCAACGTAGCCATTTAACAACCATGAACAAGAATATAAGAAGGATAAAGACTTCTTACGGGTGTGACCATAAAATATGGAGTACTAAACAACTGAACCCATGTGTCTGCTATTTCTCTACTCTCTCTATATCCAACTGTTGCTTCACTAAACTTCTCCACAGCTATCTGTATTACATTATAGTCACAGAAATGTAAAAAATAGAAATTACCCAAAGTAGTCAAATTAGGTCATGTAAAAACCTCGTTTGCAATGTTTGCGCCCATAAGAACACAACAATTGATACCAAGTTGCTTGGAGATTAGACTTGAGATCATACAAGGACCTTCCTTCTTCACTTCCATTCCCTTAACAAGAGATATAGCCTCAACATCTCCTGTGATCTTTCCATCTAATCTCTTGCATATTCCATCCATGAACTGATGCGGTGTAACAAAAACCAACATGTTTGCTTCCTTGACTGTATCAGTGAAACCCATCAATTTGAAGAATCTAATTGAGATCAAAGTAAAGGAGAAAAAATTCATACGGTGGAAGTCACAAACCTGCATTTTCAAGGTCAGGATCCGCAACAACATTTCTTCCAAGCTTAATCCCAGGGAGGTACTTGACATTTTCCTACTCAAGAAACCAATTAAAATAGTTATAGAACCGTGTTTCAAAGAATTGAAAACCAATGTATAACAAAATCATTCATCTGTTCTTACATTAGTCTTGTTGATTATATCAGTGAGCTTCTCACCATTTGGTAGAACCTCCTCAAATACCCACATCCTCACTTCATCTGAAACATAACAAACCTTTAAGCATACAATACTATTTCCAAACCCATTTCTTTTTCAACCATTCAAAGATTGAACAATACTAAACATGAAAGTACAAAACTTTGCCCAAAGTTTCAGTTTTTATAAGTTTTCAGAAACGCTCTTTCGAAAAGAGAAAAAGAAAGACAAGCATTGACGATGATAATGACACGAACCCAATTCATCATGTCCTATATACAAGACAAAGACACCTCAAAGTTTCAATTTTTATAATTGGAACTGAATCGAGGAGCGTCACAGAAACTTTACCATGGAAAGAAGGAAGCTTGAGGGCATTAGAAGCAATGAGCTTAGCAGCAACACTGCCCCAATTGCCACTACCAACGACCGTAACCTTAGACTTCAAATCATCATTACATTCACCATTGCCTTGTCGGGATTTCTCGAGAGCAGGAGACATAGCGGCGGAGAGAGAGGAGAAGCGAGAGGAAGGAAGAGAAGGAGAAGGGGAACGTGAAAGGGAGAAGATAGAGAAGAAGAATGATCGGAGTCGCATGGAAGAAGGAGATATGAAAGGGGACACGTTGAGAGAGAGAGAATGGTACGTGGAGTAACGTCTTCATCAATTCTATAAGCCGCCATTGTTTGGATGGTTGGATCTTGGCGATTTGCTCTATGTTCCTTCATCTTCCTCATCCTCTTTTTTTTTTTTTTTTTTTTTTTTTTCCTTTTTTTTCTTCTTTTCCTTTTATAAAATTTTTAATTGTCTTACAAAAAATATTAAAATTTAATTACGTTACAAAATTAGTATTTTTTATGTATGGTTGTTTTTTAACCCAAAGAAAAACGAAATCATATATGTTACAAAATTATTATTTTCTGTATGGTTATTTACCCCAAAAAAAAATAACGAAATCATAATTAATATGTTACTAAATTACTAGTAACATAATTAAATTCATAACATTTTTTGGAAAAAAAAAACCCAACATGTTACTCCCTTGTTTCAGTTTAGTTATATTTTAGTTATAAAAAAAAATCGTTTTAGTTTAATTGATGTTTTCAATTCTTTAAGACAAAATCAAATGGCTTTTTATATATTATATTTTTTATTAGTTGAAATCATTTTATTTTGACAATATTTATATGTAAAAAGGATAAATTTGATAAATCTTAAGAAAACATCACTTAAAATGAAGTAAAGTAAATAATATTTTCGGAAATACTAATATTTTTTAGTAAGCATATTTCCGAAAAAGATTATATTTTTTTTTGGTAATAAATTTTTTGATAACATAATGTAAAAGTTTTAAATCAGATTTTATCAAATATATTGTTTACACATATATAATTTTTTTAAAAGGTCCAAAAGAACTCAAATGTATATGTTTGACCAAAATTACGGTATGTTATAACATATATTTCTATTCGAAAGACGATTGTCGGATTATACATTGAAATGTATATGCAATATAATTTCAACAAAAAAAATAATAATTTGAAATATGATTTTTTAAATTTGACAAACTGATATTCAATATAATGAATCTGATAATAATTAAACAAAAACGATTATGTGATGTTATGTGAAAGTTTTAATTTTATTTTAATACTTGTTGTTGACCCGCGCGCAGCGCGGGAGATTTATCAAATTTTTATTTTATTTTTTGTTATATTATTATTTTTCGTTGTTTTTTTTTTGTTTTGCATTGTTTGTTTTGTTGGCATTTTACTGTTGTTATTTTTTGTTATTCTATTTTTCATATCGATTATTTTCTCAATTTTATAGTAATTTAGTATTTGAAATGTTTATCATCATTTGGTATTCGTCAGAGGTCGATGGAAGGTTTATGCGGTATTCTCTCTTTTTACTAAGTATGTGATTAGAGAGTAAGTTTCCGGTGTCTGGGTTTGATATATTCTAGGATCTGACTTGTTTCCCGTTTTTCCTATGTTCGAACCCGTGTATTCCGGCCAATGATTTTGAAATCGGTATCGTTGTTGCAGATGTGTCGCTCTTGTAAACGATGGTTCTAGAAAATGTTTTTCATGTTCCGTTTAATTATCTAGTCCCAAATTCGTGTATCCCACGTTTTTATTATTCCTTTAACCGGTTTGATTGTTATGTGTTGGAAGTCAGACCCATGGTTTTTTAGATTTTGTATTTTGATTATTGTAGAAATGTTGGACATGAAACCCATATTTTTTTGAATTTAGTGAAAAGAAAAATAATGATGTGGTGGATGATGTGGCGCTGACGTGGCTGAAGGAGAAGAGAGGAAAGGTAACTTTATATATATATAGATTCTTCATTCTATTTGTTTATACGTCCCTTTGACCGTTTGACGTATTGCTCTATAGTAATAACAACTCACAAGCCACACAATCCAAAGTTGTCACTTAACTAAAAACAAAAGGAAACGCTAAAAAAAAACATCAAACCATATTCTAAAAACTGATAAAAACAGTAATACATAGAACAGCCTATAATTCAAATTTAGATAAAACACAACAAAAACACACACACACATATAACAAACAAAACACCTGGTTTGAATTACTAAACATACCATCTTCTCAATAGGTTTAAATTCCCAATCTATTTCCCATTTCTTTTTCAATTCATCCTCCTCAATCTTTTTCATTATATTGATCTCTCTTCCTCTTCTTCTTATTCAAGATAACCATTTACGTCACAAAAGATCCATCAAAAAGCTAGCTAGAAACCAATCTAACACATAAATATATATAAATGGCTCGACGACATTTCTCTTTTGCAATTCTTGTGATCATATGTCTTGCACTAGCCGGTGGAGCTTACGCCGCCGGTTCATCATCACCTTCTCCACCGGCGACGACGTCAAACACCACAGAAACATCTTCTCCCGAGACTATCTTCGGCTTTAACGCAACGAAGGGCAATAGTCAAGATTACTCGGACTACGAAGTCCCGACGAATCTAGCACCCGATGGAGTCGAAGTCGTTGAAGATTACGTGCCAATTAGCGTAAACAGTGATAAAGACAATGATGTACTTGCTCAACCTGAAGGTGAATCAGATAAGAAAACAACTCAGCAGCCCAAGGACTCATCTTCTTCTTCTTCTTCTTCTTATTCTTATTCTTCCTTCGTCGTCCTCTTTGTCGTTGTTTTTGTTTTGAGGTTTGATATAAATTAAACACGTTCTTGTTTTGTCTCATAATCCATTACTTTGTATGCATGCAATGCAACGTAAATTTTATGGAGATTTTTCATTTTTCTTTCATATGGCATTTAACATGATAGAGATGATTATGTTATTTTAATATATTGAGTTTGATTAGTTGAAAACAAAAACAAAAACGCACGTCGGTTAATTAGAAATGTTTCTTTTAATAATGCCCTAATCAAAACCCAAATCGATTTACACTTGCATAATTTTATACAATAACTAATTGAAACTGAGAGATGCGAATCATATTATTTCGATCATATGAAATGCTAGAAAAACTATTTATAATTTGATCATTATTTGACAAGACTATGATTATTATGGTGTTATTGTTCAACTTTAATTTTGCTCATGGCTTTCGTGCTTTGGTGGGTCTTCGAGATCCTTTCCACGACCTATGTTGTGTTGAAGGGAGTCTGCTCAGTTTATTCTGTTAATTAGTTTTTTTTATACACTAAATGCACTTATTTAGTTTCTCTTGCTTATTACAACTCATCATCCATTCTAATATCACCATTTTGGATCACATAATATATAGTTTACTATTTTATCATTTAAATTGTGATCATTATCCAAACTGATCATTCTCTTTTAAAAATTAGGTTTTGTAATGAAATTATGTGGTTGATCATAGAGAATTTTGGGTGGTAGGTTAGCACTGTTTTTGAGTTTGTATTTGCCTTCTAACACCCTTTTCAACCATTGTATTTGAGTTCTCTCTTTTGAAATGGGTGTAAAGAAAATTAGGTTTTGTAATGAAATTATGTGGTTGATCATATGCTTTAGATAGTTATAGTTTTTTTTCTCCATTTTTTTAATTAGTTTTTCTCATAAAATAAAGAGTAAATAACTTTATAATTAATATTTATAATTATCTTTTTGTACTTCAACCACCACTTTAAAACACCACTTGCTTTCGTGTTGTCGGCTTGCACGCGTGCGATATAATAATATTACCGTTTTAACTTGTCACCCATATTGTAATGAAAAAAGGCAAATGATTGTTAAGTTTCTAAACAACATACAAAGTTTAATTAATTAGTTGTAAAAGCTAATTAACAAAACATCTAGTCTAGTCTAACCCTACAGTTATACATACGTGTTAACATGGCTTGTTTAGTTGTTTTCACTTTAACAAAAAAAAAAAAAAAAAACATCGCTTGTGAATTGTGATTATCCTAATCTTGTATAGTTGTATATCCTTAATCCTTCTTTATAATTTAAACATTACAAATCATGCAAACAGCTGTTACGACTGTTAGCATGCATAATAATTTTTAAATTGAGGATGTAAACACAAACCTTAATTTGTTATAGCAATATTTGAACACTTCTTTATATATATATTTATAACTCCATTGACATTTAAAACCTGAAATTCCAAATAGTAACAACAAAAAAACAGCCAACTTTACACTCATAGAAATCGATATGATATTACAACTTCAATCAAATGACTAGCAAAATACAACCATAATTACTGATCAGCCATCAAACTAAACGTGACACAATCAGACAATACAATAGCAATCAAAATACTCATGCAAAATCAAGAACTTATAGCACTTCTCTACTAGAAAATGTCTCAAGGGTGGATTAGAGCTAACTAATCGGTTGATTAATCAAATTAATAAAAGTAAGGTAATTAAAAATTAGACAGTAATTGGGAGATGAGTAGGTTTCAACTCCTTAAAAGCAGGATCTTGTAATAAAAAGACCTTATCACCATCTCCAACACCAATCATGTGTAAGTATTCACTGTCTTCTCTTTCTTTTCCTCTAAACAAGAGTCTTTGCTCTTTTGCCTCGATGCCACTCACTATTGCTATCATCATCTTCAATTCACCTGAAATAAATAAATGAGAAATTTATACTACTAGTATATAATTAATGACCGGTTTTTTTATCAAAAGATGTTCCAACCATATTTCTTATGTACTAATATATAGAGTTAGTTGTCGTGTAATATAATTAACCAACCAAACTAAAATAAATATCATCTTTTATGGTTGCATGCCTAAATCTTGATGAAGTAATGTTATTTATTGGCACTTTTTGACCGGTGATAACCTTATATTACGGATGAATTTAATTACTATGGTAAAACATAATATTGAGTGAGTATAGTTAGTTTTAGTAAGCTGGTTTCAACAATAATAACAAGAAAAAACATTTTGCGTAATCATATTCACATATACTCTTTTCACAACTATATAAATGTAAATATATATGTGTGGTTCATCAAATTTTGATGAGTTTTTTTATTTTATTAATCTTGATGAGTTATAGATATGAAAAAGATATGTGAATTTAACCAAAAAGAAAAGATGTGTAGTTACCGAAAGTGGAGTTGGCATCTATGGAGATTTCATATGAGAGTTGAGAAACGGTGGAGACTCTAAGGCTGATTAAATCTTCAGTGTTGGAGTCTTCTGATCTCTTTTGAACTAGCATCCCTCCAGGCCTCATCTCCCATTTTATGTTGTTGTTGCTACACAATGATGATGAAGATGATGATGATAGTGATGAAGATGAAGATGATGATGAGGATGAGGATGATCTTTTGTTGCTGGCCGTCCCAATTCTTCCACATCCAAACCCAATGCAAAACCTCTTTGCCATTAACTTTCCCATTCTCTCTCTCTTTCTTTTCTTTTCTTTTTTTTGCTTGTAAGAAGAAGAGAGATGTGCTGGCTTATACTTATAGAAAATGAGGTTTGGTACACATATTAATAAACAAAATTATCATGTACAATAAAAGGTAAACAAATAAAGGGAATTAGGGTGTACACTTATTTTTAAAATCTTTAACTAAATAATCAAAAGAAATCCTTTCTAAGTTAAAAAAAAATAGTTTTAATTTCTTACTTGACTTTATATTATTAAAATAAATTTCTTTAATTAGTATTAGAAAGCATAGTTCGATTGTAATACAGAACTCGATAAAATAAAACTAAATACAAAATTTATGTTAATTTGCCAAGCGTGTGGTAGATCAATGGTGAAATAATGATTCAATATTTTTGCTAAGGAAATTGAACTTTGCCCTTCTTTACAAACTTCAGGGACGTAAACAGTAAAAACTTCTACTCAAAAATGTTTATAGAAAATTTTGTATAACCGGAAGTTAATTTTATAAGTGTATTAACTTTACTAAGTTGGTTTTAGATGATGTCACTCAATTTCCGATAGAAAAATAAATAAAAGTTATAAAACTTACAAATCGTAGAACTAATTCGTAACAAAGGTCTAGTTAATTAGTGGTTCCTGAATGTATTACTAGTTTTGTTTCATATAAAAACTGTTATTCTAACGTTTTCACATAAATTAAGAATAGTAAACAAATTTCATATACTTTTTATTAATACACTAAATAATATTCTCTCTAGTTAATAAGTTTGAAATACTAGAGCTAAAAATATATATATTTGATATTGAAAATAGAAAACGACAAAAAAAACAAGATTAAAAGTTTTAAACTAATATATTTTGTGAAATAAATGGAAATATTTTTCTTTCTTGAAATTTGATTATATATGGGACGTTCTACCCTTGTCCATTTTTAACATGGTTCTGTTTACATTTAGGAGTCAAATATCTTTATGATTGGTTTCTTTTTAGTCAATTACCTTATTATTGTCAAGAACAACTCTAATGACCACAATAGAATCTAATTGTCTAAGAATAATGATGACTACCAAACTCTCTTTTTCTGTGGTGATCTGTACAGTTTCAATATCTAATGTACTTAAGTTGAATATTTATTTTTCTCAAAAATTGGAGTTTTCTATAAGTTCGATTCATGATATATAATAACTTAAGTACTGATACAGTGATACCTATGTTTTTATTACAAATCAGTATTCGATTTTCTATATATATATATATATATATGTTATATATAACTTATAGGTGACACCAAATCAATTTAATAATGGTTGTGAATATTCTTCTACAAATTCGTTGTCAAAGGGAAAAAAAACGTAATTTTCACAACTTTGCAATACACTTTCTAAACCTCTATAATTATGTGTCATGTCAAGGTAAAGCGTGTGGATTTTTATGTTAGTTATTATATATAAATAAGATATGGTTATAGTTAGGTGAATAAAATCTTTTTTTAATATTCATATAGTTTTTGCCTCTAAAGATGTCCCTTGAGACTTACTTTATGCATAGAGAAAGGCCGGTTTGGTTATCCTTTAGGGTATCAACCCACATGGGTCGAAAAAAAGCATATAAAGATTACACTTTTTTGTTGTTATATATTTGATTTGAAGTCTCTATAAATTTCAAACAACAACGATTTTTTTCAATTGTTAAAATCATTGCAATGTACAAAACTATATCCTTCAAGTGTATGGGAAAAAACTACTATTAGAATTTTGCGACATGTCATGTTAATTGTATTGAAAAGTTAATATAAACTCGAGTATGTGTTATTATCAATTCAGCTTCACGATTTGGAAAGATAGTTAATAGAATTATGGTACCTTGGAATAATATGACCAACCAAAGCATTGAACCTAGCTAGAACTAGAATGCCATAAACATATATAGAGGTTCCATTTTTTCTTTTTTTTTTGTCTAGAGCTAGATTATACCTTTTGTTTGCTTATGACTTTGATTGGTAATTCTGTATCATGCATTGTGGTAAACAAATATATGCAAATGTTCTCAAGAGACCAGTTCAATATTCATATATAAAGCTTCGAATTATATATGGAGATGTAGCACTCACGAAAGCAATTAAAAAGAGAAATTTTTTTTAAAAAAATCTTAAAGTCTTGAAGCTGGTCAACAGACAAATATGACGAGAGATACACTACGCATGTCAATATATTTGATACGATTACCAAGAATCAAATATACTATTACTATTCTCTATGAATTCTTCTGTTAATAATATATAAACATACCGTAAAATCTAAAACATATGACTAGGGGAAAAAACATACTTATTCTAAAGGTGTGTACGAGTACTTTATTTTCTTTAAACTAAAGGTTTCTTTGTATTTCTAGAAAGGGGCTCAAAATTAGATACGAATCATACAAAATGTTATTTTACAAATCTAAAACAGAGAGAGTACAAGTGATGTTAATGCAAGCACGTTATACATATGACTCTTAACTGTTGCATGTATAAAGACTAAAAATCATGTTTATAAAAAAGATTATTTGGTACTATATTTGTTAATTTAGTTGTATAATTTAGTTTACAAAACGTAAAGAGATGAATAAAGTTATCATAAAGTTAGAATTGTTGATATTGAGTTATGAGTAATATTATACGATTTTTTGTATTTAGATCTTTGGAATACTAGAGTTTGATATTTAAAACTTATATAACAACACGCAAAAATAATTCCAAATGTGAAACATATACAGAACACTAACGTCCGATGTCAACCACGCACATTTTTTTTTTTAGTAACTCCTAATCTCATTGATAATTCAGGAGTAATTTTAAAGATTTTTTAGGTTCAAAAACTAATTTTATGGGACTGGGGAACCATATTAAAATCCAAATTTTTATAGTCAATGCTATTTGAATCTAGGTGACGGAATTAACCTCCATTTATTACTGGACCAAGACAACTTGACTAACAAAGTAACAAAGTAATTGATTAATTAACAAAAGCTATAGAGTAAGCAACAAAATATATATGTTTCATTATATTGCACAATTAACTTAGAACCGATTGGATTAAGTAATACGTAACGTTTGGAACACAAGGTTGAATCTCGTACTATTCCCAACAAATTTGCTCATGTGATCTTTGCTCTTTTATCGCTACGTACATACAGGTTCATGTGTGTGGTATACTAATACTGTACTAGGTTCTAACAAGTTTTTTTTTTTGAATCTAATGTTAAATTATATTTAAAAAAAATTAACGTTTGTACAACTAGTGCATCATGTTTTTAGAAAAGAAACAGAAGATTAACCACATTTTTTTGCAAACTTAACATAGAAAGTGAAGCCACCGTTGAAAACCGCTATTGTAGCGTTGATCACCAGCTCGTCGTATTATTAAGAGTTTATCTCTGACTTGTTGATCAATCCATTTTGTGAGGTGAGCTGCTGGTTTAGGAGATTCTCCATGCCGCCTACCATTGCGTTCTCGCCAAATTTCATAGACAACCGTTTGAAAGACGTACCGAAGGAGGAAAGTATGAACTAGATCCTTGTGCTGAGTCGATATAAAAGTAATCAAAGTCGACCAATCTGTAGTGTAGTTGGTACTGAGGAGACCCTTTGTAAGAGAGGCCCATATTCCCGAAACATAATTGCAGGAGAAAAACAGGTGATCCCGAGATTCAACGCATCGGCGACAAAATTCACAAGTACCAGAAAAGCCGATGTTCCATTTAAGCATACGATCCCCTGTGGGAAGCCGATCGTGAACCGCCAACCAGACACAAAATGAATATTTCGGAGTAGCATGAGGGAACCATACACCTTTTTCCCAAGCTACTTGCGGAGAAGCTGTGCGGGTGTGATTCCACGTGTCTTTAGTAGAGAATTGGGACTTGAACTTATCGTTTGCTCCTCGCCAAAGAAAGACATCCGGCTTGTTGCTTTTGTTCTGCAGTTGTAGAGTCAGAGCCTCCTCAATAGAATTTAATTGATCCACTCGGTGCCGTCGCCGTCTACGACCAGTCCAAGCTGAAGCTAAGGAGCTAGCCCAACTGATTCCCATATCAATAACCGCTCTGCTGTCCACAACGTCCACAAGCCTGCCCAAGTTAGACCAGTCATCATACCAGAATGACGTTTGTTGACCATTGCCTACTTCAACCTTTGAGAAGGTTCTAACAAGTTTACCAGTAACCAGTTAAGTAGTCGGCCTTGGAATCTGCCAATTTGGTTATTCAGTTCGATCAATCTGGTTTGTTTATTTTTCAAGGTTCTTCAGTTTAACACCAAATCCGTGACTTCTTGATTTGTTTTACTAGTTTTGTTTACTAAAGTGTTTTATACGTTTTTTCAACTTCATCTTTACATGTTGATGTTGTTAGCAGCGAGGATGATATCAGGGACGGTGGCTCGGGTGCGCCCTTAGATTCACTTTCTCTCGCGAAGCTTTCACGCTTTATGGATTGCTTGGGTAATGATCACACTAAATAACACATGTACATCTATTAATTAGTACGATGGCTTAATGAAGACCAATAGGGTTTGGGATAAACTTGGGCTACACGCTATACTATTTGGATCTCTCTAAGCCCACATAGGATGGGTTCTAGCAATTTATTTGGTTCGCTTTGGGGGGCTCTGAAGTCTTATCTAATGTCTTATTATTATACCCCCACTTTCTTGGCTGAAGATGTTTTTGTCACTCTTGTTTTAGGTAAGCGAAACCCGGATGATGATGATTTGGAGACCAAACCGATTCTCAAGAAACATATAGGAAACATCCGACGAGAAGGTGACCTAATTGGATGGTCTTGGATTCCTCTTGTAGTCTTGTTATTTGAGATGATCAATCTTCTATACACTGTCTTCTAAGTTCTAATGGCTGGCTACTCATATATGCAATTTATTAATTTTCAATCTCTTATAATGCAACTTTTAATTAGTTTTAAAATTTTGTATTGTGATTCTCTCTTTGGCTTCCCTATATAATTGATACATTTATATTTTATTTTTGCTAGATTTTATGTTAAACTGTTACTACTGTAATTTCTGGGAACCAGTCATAAATCACTTGCAAATATACTCATTCTCTCAATAGGTTTATATATATCTCTTTCACAAATCCACGTACATGCATATCCGTAACCGTTACGTTTACGTCTTCGCCAAAGGGAAAAAAGAGTTTGTCTTCACGTTTTTGTAAGTAGGAGAACGTACTGATTGGGCCTGTCTTAAGTATACACACTACGCCCACCAAAGGGATATATTTCATGTGGATTCGTAGAGCATGCATATATGTGAATCCTTCTGAATAAGGAGTTGAGTGTGATGGCCATGAAATTTGAAGACTTTGGCCAGCTTTCTCCATCAATTTGGCCTAGCTTTTTATCTTTGAGAGGTAAAGTTTACTTTGTCTTATGATCCACATTACATTCTTCTTTTCTCTTTTATTTTTTCCTTAGAATGATGATACCATGTATACTTTGGTCCACCATCTATATAATGTATAGTTACAAATTTGTTGAAAATAATTGTCTTCTTCTTCGATCTTACACGTGTTAGACTTACAACTAACATTCATGATATCATGTTCAGGGGCGAACCCAGGAAAAAAATTAATTGGGGGCAAAAGGTAGCAAATGAGGTTTGAACCCATGAGCTCAAACAATACATGGGGGCACTTTAACCATTTTGACACTTATAACTTTAATTTTAATGCAAAAATTTTAGTTTTTAATAGGTTGGTGGGTGCAACTACCCCCACCTTCTTCTATGTGGGTCCGCCCCTGATCATGTTATAAGTATATAGATTAACACAAACTATCGTTTTATATATACTAGTACTTTAGATCCCACTACAATTTTTGACGTGTGATTGATTCCTAACAAAGTGATTTTTGGTGAGATTGAGGAGTTTTAAATTTTACACACACCATTTTTTGATAGGATAAGTACATAAAGAATAGTAAAAGTGGTTGGACTAGTCGTTACCAAGTTGAACCATCATGATCCACGAATGAATCTTAGAAGAAATTAGGTTTGGTTTAAACAACCAACACAACCAACAAAACTCAAGAACCATAGAAGAAACAGCACCTGTCTTCACTTTTTCATTGCTTTTTTTCCTAATGCTTTTATGTCTGATTACTACTTTGATAATAATATAATGATAATGTGATTTCTTTAACTGTCGCTTATTAGTGTCGACATCATATAATAAAGGAGAAGCAAAAGAAATAATGAAAATGTCGTTTTCTCTTCTCTTGTTAATTAACCTTCTCTTCTTTTCTCGTGTTTGCTTCACTCAATACGAGGATGAGAAGGTGTTGGCTCATGCGCTAAACAACAACAAAAAAAAGCCGATCACCAAGAAACAACAACAATATTTTATTTATTACCACCAGATGAATTTGAAATAAAACTTTAAAAATAAAATAAAAACATTTCTTTTGTCTTTATCACCAAAATATAAACTTAGTTCAATTAAAAAAAAAATGTTTTTGAACAAATGCTTTCTTTTTTTTCTTTTCTATATTGAAAAAGAAATCTAATCTGATTAAAGAAACTAATCAATTAATTTAACATTAAACCAAAAAAAAAAAAACTAAACCGAAGAAAATATTTATTTTGAATTTTATTGATAGTACTAAGCAAAGCTTTAATAAAAACTTCCTCTGTTCTACTTTATAAAAGTTTTTAGCTAAAAACACAAAATTTAAGATATAATAAATATTTTGTTGTTTACAAAAATTAAACCAATAGAAATTAATACTTCACAATTTAAATATTCATAAAATTTAAATAATAAAATTTTGTAGAAACTTGAGAAATATAATAAAATAGAACAAAAGAAAAATTAACTCTAAAACGTTTTTATGTATTGGAATATTGGAAGTAATACAATAACAATAATTTTTTATTTTATATATTATATTTTTAATGAAGATTTGTGATTAGTAATTAACTAAGTATCAAAATAATATATTTTTATATTTATATTACAGTGGTCTAAAATTATTAATAATTTTTTTATTAGATTAGCTTAAATTAATTGATATTTTTTTGGGTTAAGGGTTTATGGACGGTTTCTTAACCGTCAAATCCCATGTGTTGTGCGACATTGTCCTCTCTCGAATCTTTCGTGTGTTTGCTGTTCAAAGTTTAAATTAAAAGGAATAAAAATTATCTGTAAATCCTCTGAGAAAGAAGATAACTTGTTCTGCTTCTTGTCGTGTCTCTCACAGTTTGAATTTCTCACCCTCTCTCTCTCTTCCTCATAAAAATCTCTGCTTTACCTTTTGTTTTCGAGGGATTCATTTTGATTTTTGATCTTAGGGATTCATCAATGCGAAGTTTTTGAGTGATGGGTCTGTGTTTGTGTTGATTTTGAAGATATATAATTTGTGATGGAGCCTCCAACGGGAATCTTGGCTTCTCTGTGGCAATTTATACTCTTCATTCCTTATTTCACTGGCTTACTGCTTCTTGGTGTCATTAAAGGTAACAACTTTGCTCTTAGATTCACTAACTTATTTTGAATTCCTTGTGGGGATTACTTATTCTCTCTCTATCGATGTTGACTTGAGATTGTCTGCTTGAATCTGTGTAGGGCACTTTTTTAGGATTTGTTTCATTTATTTTTTATCAACTTTTGGTGGAATTAGCATTTCTACCTAATTTAGGGTTCTTCAATACCAAAAAAGTGCACTTTTTGAATTGAAGGAAACACCTACCACCTAATCCCTGAACTTTTGTTCTGTTTTTGCAAATCTTGCTCATTAGTTCAGTGGCTCAGGGTAGGTAATTAGTGAGTGATGTCTGAAATTAGCATTTTCACTTTCATCTGGTGAACAGTTTAGATTCACTTGAAGGAATTTGTTCTTTTACAAGTCTTGTTTGCAATTTCTGTAGGATGAATTGTTGTAAACTTCTCTTTACTTCTTCTTTGTTTGATTAGGTATCGTTTACTTCTTCTCTTTACTTCTTCTGTAGGTATCGTTTTCTGCCCGGTTATATGCCTTATCGTGGCTATTGGAAACTCTGCAATCATCTTAGGCCTTATACCGGTGCACGCTATTTGGACTCTATATTCGACAGTGTGGTACTTTCTCTTGCTGAAACAATCTATGTCCTCCTACAATTGTTACCATCTTTTTCTGATGTTGAAGTGTTTTTGTTTGGTTTCAGTGCTAAACAATTAGGACCAATCTTGAAGCTCTTTCTGTGTTTATGCCTTCCTCTCGCCGTCATTCTCTGGCTTGTGGTTAGTATCATAGGAAGTGTTCTCGGAGGTGCTATATATGGATTTCTTTCTCCAATATTTGCCACTTTCGATGCTGTTGGCGAAGGGAAGTCTAATCCGCTTTTCCATTGCTTTTATGTAAGTTTTTCTCCATTTCTCATTTTATTTATGTTATTGCAGATTAGACCTCATCTCAACACCTAAATTTTCTGCTTTCATAATTTAGGATGGAACTTGGAGCACTGTTCAAGGAAGTTTCACCGTTGTCTGCGATTTTAGAGATGTTTGCTTTCACTCCTACTTTTCGTTTATGGATGACCTTAGAACATCTAGCGCGGATCGTCACTATTATGAAATAAGGTTTACAGAACTCTACTGAAATTCAGTAATTTGCGTCTACCGTTTACACAACAGTGCTTTCTTACCGTTTGCAATTTTATTTTTCTCAGGTTACTTCAAATTCCAGGCGCTGTGATTGCTGCAGTTCTTGGAATTCTTGTTGACTTCCCAGTAATATCACTCATAGCCATTTGTAAAAGCCCGTACATGTTGTTCAAAGGTTGGCGACGTTTGTTTCACGATCTCATTGGACGTGAAGGTCCGTTCTTGGAAACAATGTGTGTCCCAATCGCAGGCCTTGTGATCTTACTCTGGCCTTTAGCTGTTGTTGGAGCGGTTTTAGGATCTGTGGTCTCTAGCGTCTTCCTTGGTGCCTATGCCGGTGTAGTCTCATATCAGGTTATTTAAAAATGACTTATTGTTTTGAGAAAAGTGTGAATCTTTGATGATATTGAATTGGTTTCTCTTGTCACAATACAGGAGTCATCATTCTTCTTCGGTCTCTGCTATGTTGTTGCTTCTGTTTCAATTTATGATGAGTATAGCAATGATGTTCTTGACATGCCAGAAGGTTCTTGCTTTCCCAGGTTTGTCTCCAATGGCTTACCAGCAATCTTTATCTCTCTCTCTGTTTTTATTCTAAAATACAAAGTGTGTTGTTGTCTTACAGGCCAAAATATCGAAGAAACGAAGAGGGCAATACAGCATTTTCTGGTGGTCTTTCACGACCGAACTCTTTCAAGACAACTCCATCAAGAGGAGGATCACAAAGAGGCCCAATGATCGACCTGAAACCTCTTGATGTACTCACAATCTCTTCTTATATGGAAAATCTTTCTATATAATTAAAACTGAAACCTTCGTTTGTTAATTTTGTAGCTTTTGGAGGCTCTGTTTGTAGAATGTAGGCGGCACGGAGAGATTATGGTTACAAAAGGGATTATAAACTTAAAAGACATCGAAGAAGCTAAATCTACCAAAGGCAGTCAAGTAATAAGCTTTGGATTACCTGCTTATTCTCTTCTTCACGAGCTTTTACGCTCTATTAAATCTAATTCCACCGGTTTGTTACTCGGTATGTTGCAATGTTTCAACAGCTTTTTGCCAATTCCATGACCACATTTTCTAGTACCCGTTTGAATATCATCAAGAAACAAACAAAACAGTTTCTTTAATCATTTTTGGATTCACAACTTGGTTTGTTATGGGTTTTTATGTAGGTGACGGTGTTACGGAGATAACTACAAAAAACCGCCCAAAAGATGCGTTTTTCGATTGGTTTCTGAATCCGTTTTTGATCCTTAAAGACCAGATCGAAGCAGCAAAACTATCTGAAGAAGAAGAAGAGTATCTTGGAAAATTGGTATTGCTGTTTGGAGATTCAGAGAGACTTAAAAGCTCCATTGTGGAATCTGAATGTCCTCCTTTAACCGAACTCAGAAAAGCCGAACTTGATGCCTTTGCTCGCAGGTAATTAGAAAGAAAATTAAAAAACTCACAATCTTGTTACGGCTTTCTACTTAGGATTCTAAAATAATCTTGATGTTTGGTTTTTGGTTAGGCTTCAAGGATTAACCAAATCAGTATCAAGATATCCAACATTCAGAAGACATTTTGTGGAACTAGTCAAGAAACTATCAAATGAGCTAGACAAGAAACATAACCGCTTTGAAGGCGGTTCAAGATCAGCTCAGCGACCCGGGAAAACGGTTTCCCGTATATTCAGCCAGAAATCGTTCAAGAAAAAGACAAGCAGCAATGGGTCAGATCAAGATTCACCAAACCGCGGATTAAGAGACATTGATATTGTGTAAGTAAATGTTGTGCGACGAGAATTTAGATCGAAAAGTCGTCTGTTTTTAACTCTGTAATGATAAATTTTATACAGATTTCAGTGAATATGAAGCTGTTTTCAATGATTTAACAAATGTTATCGACTCAGCTTTTTGCTTGTTCATCTGATGTGTTCTTCAGAAACAGCAGAACCGTTTCTTCTGCAATAGAAAATAGCAACCCTTATAACTTTAAGCCCTCATAAGGCTGATGTTGTTGTTTCCTTAAAAACTACACAATTAGGATTAGAAATGTTTACCGTAGGTTCATCTTGAGATTTATTGTTATTGTCACGGCGTTGTGAGGTGGCACGACCACTTGCATTTGTCTTTTTGTCGTCTCGAGCTTTAGCGAATATTACCGTGAACCCTTCGGCTGATGCTGGATCGTTCACGTCCCATTCTCCAAATTTTGGTAATGGTCGATCTTGTTGCTGTCGCGGTTGATTATTCTGAATTTTTCAATAACAACAAAATTCTAAACAATATCAATCAAAACACACATAACAAAACAAGTTGAATGTGAAAGAAACAAAGATCTTACCGATGCCATTCAAAGGTTGTGTAAAAGATGAAAACAGAACATAAGATGATCTTTAAACAACAAGAAAAAATTGTTTGTCTTTTCGTTTTTTTATTTCTTTTTCGATTACGTTTAAAGAATTAAGATTTGAGAAACAGATTAACGTTTTTCCTAAGGTTAAATATAGGTTTTACGTTTTTAATTAACGTGTTTTGTTGTTAACAACTTGAAACACACAAATGACAAAATCACAAAACACTTAAAGCAAACAAAAAAACAGGTTTGAGAAAAGGCTGAAAACGACACGAATTGTTTGCCTTCTGTATCGAAACGGGACGCTTTTTCTTGTTATCGAGTGTCGAATAAAAACTCGCCACGTGTTGGATTATACCTACATACTTCTCGAGGCCAACACGGGCGTATTAGAACATATACATTATTAATGTGTGATTATTGCCGGTATATATATACGGTTCAGATATGTCTAAGCTTTTTAACCAACGGTCATGATAACGTAGACGAAGCTAGGCCGGTATTAATAAACGGTCACGATTGTCTTAGCTCTTATCAACGGTCACGATGATGTAGACGAAACTAAGCTTCACATCTACAAATACGTATATATATATATACATTTTTGAATAATCATTAATTAATAATCACAGGTTATTAACAAATTAATCATTTATCTCAGCTACTTCACAATAATTTTCATTTCATTTGATCTTCTCCGATAGTATGGCGTTCGGTTTGATCGGAAGAGTTGTTGGAACCAAACCGTCAAGGTTATCAGCGGCGGTGCGATTGATTCCGGCGAGATGGACATCAACAGGTTCAGAAGCGCAATCGAAAGCTTCATCTGGCGGCGGAGGAGCTAATCTGAAGACGTTTCAGATCTATCGATGGAATCCAGATAATCCTGGGAAGCCTGAGCTTCAAGATTACAAAATCGATCTCAAGGATTGTGGTCCGATGGTTCTAGATGCTTTGATTAAGATTAAGAACGAGATGGATCCGTCGCTCACTTTCCGTCGCTCTTGCCGTGAAGGTATTTGTGGTTCGTGTGCTATGAACATCGATGGATGTAATGGTCTCGCTTGTTTGACGAAGATTGAATCTGGATCTAAAGAGACTACGATTACGCCATTGCCGCATATGTTTGTGATTAAGGATTTGGTTGTGGATATGACGAATTTTTATAATCAGTATAAGAGTATTGAGCCGTGGTTGAAGAGGAAGAATCCAGCATCTGTTCCTGGGAAGGAGATTCTACAGAGTAAGAAGGATAGAGCTAAGCTTGATGGCATGTATGAATGTATTCTCTGTGCTTGCTGTAGTACCTCTTGTCCTAGCTATTGGTGGAACCCTGAGTCTTATCTTGGCCCTGCTGCTTTGCTCCACGCCAACAGGTATATAGAGTCTGGCTTTTCATAATGTATTAGATTCACTAATCAGAGTGTTCCCGTTCTGACTTGTTGGTAGTTTACATTTGTAGTTGTATGGTCAATTAGGTTGCTTTGGCTTCTGTAGTTATAGTTTAACTCTGAAGGAAAGTGTTAAAGACTCATTGTGCTTCTCTAGTTGTTTGTTTGTCTTAGGGATTTTGCTTTTGAGTATTTTGTTGCTTTGAGCCGTAATACTTGGTAAATTGATTATGTATGATTTGTTGGTAGTTTACATTAGTTCATTTATGCATTGTCATCTGGGTTGTTTTTACTCCTTTAGTTGTGTGTTTTTTTAGCTCTTTGTTTCACTGAAATGGAGGAGTCTGAAATGGAGTTAGCTAAACGACTCTTTGTGCTTCTTTTTGTGTCTCTTTAGAAAACCGCAAGTTCAACCATCTGATTATATCTGTGAGTCATTATGCGTGAACATTTAGGTTGTTTGTGCTCCTTTAATTGTAGTGTAGCTTAGCTCTTTGTTTATGCAAAATGGAGGAGGGTCCTCTAGTAAAAGGTCCAAACTCTTCAATTGTCACTGATGGAAACCACAAATTCAACTGTCTGACTATATCTGTGGTAGTAAGTTAAAAGTTTTGTTCTTTCAAGGTAATGTAACGAGGTTCTTTCATATGTGCAGGTGGATAAGCGATAGCCGAGATGAGTACACTAAGGAAAGGCTCGAAGCAATTAACGATGAGTTCAAGCTGTATCGATGCCACACAATCTTGAACTGTGCTCGTGCCTGTCCAAAGGGATTAAACCCAGGAAAACAGATCACACACATCAAGCAGCTTCAGCAATCTGGTTGAACAGCAAATCAATCATGCAGTACCTATCAGTAACTCATCTGCCGATAGATTTTTGATGCTAATAATAATCTGCAAGAAACTCCGATTTTGGATTAACAATTCTTGTAGTTCTGTTACAAGATATCAGAACAGATGATTTTGTGGTACACCTTGCTGAAATTTATTGCCTAAAACAAGAAGCAATAGAACGCTGAAAGTTTAAAACTACATCTCCTTATAATCTATTACCTCAGCATTGCCTTTAATACAAACGGTTTTGAGTTTTGCTTTATTGGTGAATAGAGGTGACAAAATGTTTACATTTTATCTCTTGGAATTTGGAAGATAAATTATCTATTCTACAAACAGATTTGCTTAAAAGATAAGCCTTCTTCAAAAAAATGTGTTGAGCAAAAAAGGAGAGACTGGTGATTAGCTTTCACGAGATAGAGCCAGAAACACTGTAGCTGATGCAATCTGAACTTTGAGATCAGCAATATCAATGTCGTGCCCACCTTCCACTAGTCCCCATTTGTTCACCTGCATGAAACGTCCGAGAAAGATTAGTTTTACATAGAATGTCTAAGCCATAGATGTTAGCATGAGAGTGACAAAAGGAAACCTGTAAATCTTCTTCAAGTCGAATCAATTTGATTGCATCATCGATCTGCAATTTCCCACGGAAGATGCCAAGAGCAATAACTATCGAGTGAGCTGATGCTTGGAGTGCATCAATGCTTGCAAGTTCACCGTCACTTGTCTTCTTGAGCAGATCTTCTACTGCTTTCACTAGCTTGTCGTCTTGTTTACCCCCAAAGATACTAGAATACACTTTCGGTTTCACCCCAAACTCTGATTCTACCCACTCAATTAGAGGATCAATCCTCTCTACCTGAATGTCTGCAAAAGACAACTCAATAAGAGTAAAATCTAGGAGGTAGTGGAATGGGGAGAAAGTGTATTATACCATGGACATCACTAGTTAGATCATTATCTTCAGGCGCTCGGAAAAAGACGAGATCTTGATGTAACTTTCTCGATAGATGTTCTATGATCTTCGAACGGGTAAGAGGAACTCTTTCAAGTGCAGTACATGCTAGTCTCATGAGCGGCATTGTGAATGGTCTGATCCCTTCTGTTAGCTACAACATGATCATTATGTAGATACCAAGTAAGTCATCGCACAAGCATAAGTAGAATCGCAATAGAAACTGAGCAGAGAAGGGCAAGTCTAGTGCTTTACATCTCGCTTCCGCTAACCCAATTTTCAACTTATTCATCATCTTCAGGGATCTATCAGTCATCGCACAAGCATAAGTAGAATCACAATAGAAACTGAGCAGAGAAGGGAAAGTCTAGTGCTTTACATCTCACCTCCACTAATCTAATTTTGAACCTACAAATCACATCACAGAAATCAGATTGCTAAGCCCCGTTAGGGACTCTAAGAAACAGTAAATTAGATATAAAGAACAGAAAATTCTCAGGTTTACGTTGAATTAACAACAAACAGATTCCATTACAATAATTTTAGCTAAGTTCCATCTAATCTCGTTATTGATCATCTTCAGAACAGTATCAAATTTCAAAATGAATACAGAGGAACATTCCACTAATCGAATATTCAACTTATTGATCACATTAGCACTCAATATAGCTAAACCCAGAAACTGTTCAAAACATTATGAACTCTAACGAACACACTCGATTAGATGTTCATCAATACAAAAAAACATCAAATTCTCAGCTTTACGTTGATTAAACAATCAACAGATCCAATTACATTAGCTAAACTCAATCAAGATTAGAGCTTCAGAACACTATCAAATCTGCCACTAATCGAATATACTACCTATTGAACACTTCGCAGAACCCAGAAACCAATCGAACATTAAGGTTAGCTAAAGAACACAACAGATTATATGTTTCATTGATATAAACCAACAACAGAAAGCTATCGGCTTTAGGTTGAATGAGCAAAGAACAGACCCAATCACAAGGATTGAAGCAAAAATTCAATCAAACCCATTACTGATCACTAGCAAAATGGCTCAAAGCAGTAAACTTTTGAAGTCAAACAGATCGAATTAAGTGAATTGGTAACAAACCTGATACTCCCATTCAGCTGCAATGGCCTTAGCGAGAGCCAAAGAACGAAGCTTGAGAGGTCTCTTGGAAGGGGTTTTCAAGGTTCTGTAATCGAGCATCACAGTCCAACCATTCCCATCATCAGCTTCCCTCGTCGTCACGTTCTTGTAAAACCTCTTACCAACGATCGAACCGGTCATAAAAGACGTCGGCATCGTCACTGAATCCGATTCATTTTTCCGGCGAGTGTTCGGAGCTTTCACTAAGATGGGTTTCTCATTTTCTTTCTCGAACGTGAACGAAGACGAAGTATCGGAATCGGGTTGACGAGCGGCAGATGTCGTACATAAGGATCGAGCACGAACGGTCAGATTAGAGCTTCTGACCGATTTAAAAGCTCGGCCGATTAACATCGCCGCCATTAAATTTCCTCCCTCTCCGGTGACGAAAATGGACCTCTCTCTCTCACCTTCTTGCTTAGGGCTCTAGATCACTGATTGGCTGATTCAAGCCTAAACGACGTCGTATTGACCCCAAGTGATAAAACCTCTAATGAAGGTTTTTTTTTTGATAACAGTGATTACTAAATACAAAACTAAGATATAACTATTTGTAAAAATATTGCTTTGCTTAAACAGGACTTCTAATGCAAGAGTTTAGATTCGCCTGCTAGTTTAGTCTTGGCAATATGAAATTTAATCTTGGATTAAGAGGATCTCCAATGATACTTTATAAATTATCTCTAACAGTACTCATATTCTTTTTTAAAAAAATAGAGAAGTAAAAATAGTATTACTCCAAAGTAATCTTTCATTAGACATTCAATTAAACAAAAAATAACTTAAATTATTTATATTATAAATAGATTATTGGATGAGTTATTAATTAATATATATTTGAATAAACATTAATTAATATAAATATAAGAGTTACATTTGTAGCAGTATTTTAAAATATATTAAAATGAATACTAGAGGAAAATCCAGGTCTACATGATAAGTAATTTATAAATATTATAAATTTGTTTAGTATACATATGTTTTAAATGATACGATGTTTACTAGAAAGATTCTGGTAACCCAAACCCAATTAAAAGGATTCATTTACTGGCGAATGAAGAAAATCTATGTTCAATGGGCTAATCTATCTTCATTGCTAAAAGGCATGGCAAACATAAATGGCCTACATATTAATTAAGTAGTTACAATTATTGACGCATATTGGCAAACATAACTGGCCTACGTATTAGCACTCCACCGGCATCATCATCATAGTCAAGAGTAATTACCAAAAAAAAATCATAGTCAAGAGTAAAAATATTGTTAGTCATGGAGACTGTTATTATTACTCTAATTATTTACTCAAGAATCATTACTATGAGAAGTGATAACATTTAAAGAACTTGAGAATCTTTCAACACCGGATATGTAATTGAAAAGCAAAATGTTTGATAACTTGGTATAAAAACAAATATGAATATATTATATATATATATATATATATGATACATAAACTTACCACTTATACTTGTCCAAGAGCCAATCCATGAACGTGCATATAGTGCAAACACGTCAAAGATAGTGACATTTTCTTTGCACAGACTTGTTATTATTGTGCATTTCTTTCCTTACAAAGCTATACATCAAGCAAATTAAGCTTTACTTAACTAACTAATAAAAGTAATATACTACGCCATTACTATGTTTTTTTTTTCATCATCTCTTTACTATAGAAGAAAAAATAGACTTATCTATTATAAAGTAAACGTCATTAGTCATTACTATGTTTTTTTCATCATCCATAGAAGAAAAAATAGAGTTATCTATTATAGAGAACGATATTAGAGTAAAACTTATCTCTATAATATAGTTTTTCTATTTTAAAGGCAAAATACATTGGAGATGGTAAAACCCTAAACCTTGTATTATCATCAACACATAGATTTGCATATCTCGATCAAATGTGTAAACTTATTTGTTATATTAAGATTCAAGATTAACATATATCAAATGTGCTCACATGAAACGGCTTTGAGACGCATTACCCAAATTGTATTTGTTGCGTACGTCACAGTTTCTTAGCAACCACCCCACCAATCACAGCCACATGTTAATCAGTTAGTGGTTGGTTTGTTGCTATCAATATTAAGAATCTTTTGCAGAGAGCATCAAAAAGTGTTTGTTAATTATTTCTGCTGCTACGATGGCCAAGTCTCGTAATTATTTATTATACGTGACAAACTTCTCGATTGAGTAAACGTTTAAACTAACAATTATTCAAAAAAGTCTTCGAAGCTTTGCAGAGTTTTATATAATTTGGCAACACCGACATTTTAATTTAAAAGAATAATAAAAACCAAGAAGAGTAGACGAACATCATAATTGACATTTTAGCTATAGACGATAAATTATAGAAAAAGACTTTTGGATAATAATTTGAAAACAGTTTTAAAAATAATTTCTAAGTACAATATATTTCAATTATTGCCGACATAAAACAAAAGTAGTAGTGTCCAATTACAATTAGATACAACGTACACGACAAACATCATATGTTTTGTGTGTTTTTTTCAATTCAATTCAATTATTTAAAATCACTTATTTATCATCCCAAAAGAAGAAAACAAATTGGGACTCTTCTTATATAAATTATTTTCTAGGATTATTTAGACAAATCACAAATTATATAATTTTTGTTTTTATTTATTAGTTAGTTTGACATCATTCAAACAATAAAAGTCAATTGATGTAATATAAATAATTAAAATTAATAAGTTTAATTAATTTGCATAGATTATGAGACAATATTTGTTTTAGAAAAAAATATTTATATAGAAACAGAGAAAATATTACTAAAAATCGCAAAATTAAGGATAAGACAATAGAAAACGACGTCGTAAAGCCGCCGGTTTAATAAAATGGACTCCTAAAAGAAACGTATACCACCCACAAAGACCGTCAGGTTCAGTCGGATAAGGCGCCTCTTCATTATTAATCACCTGCTTCGATCTACACGCTAATACGGTGGAATCTTTATAACCCTACCGTCTTCAGATCATGACACGTCATCATCATCATGGCGACTCCGATCATTTTTTGCAACAGGTTTGCATTTTCCCATAAATTATAAAAACGCCTCTCTCTCTTCTCTTCTTCGTTCGTTGTCACCTTCAAGAAACAAACAAATTTTCAAAAAGATTCGTTTTTTCTTTTTCTTCAGAAGATCGAATTTGAAAGAGAGACCAAAAATGGCGTCTTGGAATTCGATTCCGCTGGAGATCTCTTACGAAATCGTTGGGTGGATTGCTTTTGCTTCGTGGTCTTTTAGCTTTTACCCACAGCTGATTTTGAATTACCAAAGAAAAAGGTATCATCTTTCATCTTTCTCCTTTATTAGTTTTCTGGATTCAAATCGAATTCGAAATTGGTGAACTTTTTTTGTGTGTTTGTGTTTGTGGGAAAAGTGTGGTTGGATTGAACTTCGACTTTGCGCTGTTGAATTTGACAAAGCACTCATCGTATATGATCTACAACGTTTGCCTCTACTTTAGTCCTGTTATTCAGAAACAGTACTTTGATATTTATGGCGACAAAGAGGTTTGTTTCCTTCTTCTCTCAGCTTGAAGCCTTTTGAAATGAGTCTTCTTTTGGTTTTGAGATGAATGATTGTCTTAGATTTGTCTCTTCTTTCTGTGGTTTTGGAATCTATGAACTTAAATGTTAGATTTGTCTCTTCTTTCTGTGGTTTTGGAATCTATGAACTTAAATGTTAGATTTTTTCTTGAATTCGTAGCAAATGAAGTTAACATGAGGATAAAGTTGGTTCCTTTTTGGAAGTTAACATGTTCTTGCTTTTGGTAGATGAATGGGTATGGGGATTTCTTGTCAATGTGGGAATGTGTTTGTGGTAAACAATGTGCACGGTGTTTCTCTTGCTGTGGAAGGTTGATGTTGAATTATGTGACAGAAACATGTTGTTTCTTCAGTGTGCTTCTACATTCATCAAACCGTAGGTTGTTTTGAGCCGGTTTTGGTTTTTTGGGAAATTGCATGGTACGTTTTGTTATGACTTATGAGGATGTGTATGGTTGTTTCTTGTCAATATAAGGATGTGTTTCTTGTAGTTTTGAATATGTAGATGGTGTTTTCTCTTGCTTTGGGAAGTCTCAAATGTCGAATAATGAGACAGAACATATTGTTTCTTCAGTATGCTTTCCACATTTTCATTTGAATAGTAGGTTGTTTCGAGCTAGTTTAGTTCTTGAGAAATCGCATGAGCCGTTTTGTTTATCTATTTTGCATATTTCAGATGATACCTGTGGCTGCAAATGATGTTGCATTCTCACTCCATGCAGTTGCAATGACAGCTGCGACACTGTTCCAGATCGTTATCTATGATGTGAGTAATGAAGTTTTACCTTTATCCGGAATCTTTGTTTTGTTTCTTTACCCTGCAAATGTTTTGTTTCCTTACCCTGCAAATGTGTTCTTTCTTATTCTCTTTCTGATGATTTTAAGTGTATTACTCACAGCGTGGAACTCAAAAAGTATCCAAACTTGCTACAGGTATTGTAGCTTTGGTGTTGGCATTTGCAGCTATTTGTTTCTTCATAGCATTACCTACACAGTCTTGGCTCTGGCTCATCACGATCTTCAAGTAAGTTGTTGCTCAGAGTTATATAAACCAATTCGTTTAATGGTAATAGAACACTTTTGATGCTAACTTTCAATATGGTTCATTGTTATAGCTCGATTCAGGTCGTCATGACATGCGTCAAGTACATTCCACAGGTAAAAATCGACAACCTTAATTTTCTCACAAATTTTGTTATAATCTGTAGTACTCAGATTGTCTCATTCATGCGTTTCTTCTCAGGCAAAGATGAACTTCACTAGGAAAAGCACAGACGGGTGGAGCATCGGAAATATTCTTCTTGATTTTACCGGAGGAGTCGCCAGCTATATGCAAATGCTTATGCAATCTATTGACCAAAGTAACAAACTCTTCACCTTCACATCATATAGCTTTTTGTTTGCTCTGATATAACATTTACATCTGTACACAAAGACTAATTTCTTTTTTTTTTTTCTTGCAGATTCTTGGGTGAACTTCTATGGGAACCTTGGAAAGACTCTTCTATCACTTGTAAGAACAGTGTTATTGGTTGTCTTTTTCAATATCTATTTCTGAATATATTCTCTGTTTTCTAATAATCTCCATATATATATTCTGCAGATCACAGTATTTTTTGATCTCATCTTCATGCTTCAACACTATGTGTTATACCCAGAGACGAAAACCTCAAAAACCGTGGAAAGTGATCAGGAATCGAACGAGCCTCTCGTTGATTCTTCTCAAGAACATGTTTAAAGATGAGACAATCAGAGTCATTTGTTTTTCAGCATTCCCTCTGTATATGTTCAAATCACAAAAAAAAAAAAAAAAACAAACACAAATGGAACAACACTTGAGACTCGTAGTCTATTTATCCTACGTAGTTGTTGTCTTAGTATCATTTTTAATGTATCATTATCACTTGGACAAGGAATGTATATTACAATGGTCAATCTTGGTTTTTTTTTGTAAGAATCCATGTAACTCTATTCTAGAGTACCATTCATTAAGAAAAAAAAATTACGCCCCAAATTTTACAATTATTCTATTTTTGCTAAAATTTTATGGATTTACCATTTTTAAGAACTGATGACAAAAAAACAAAAAAAAAAAATACCATTTTTAAGAACTTAAAATAATTTTATTTACGATTTTTTTTTTTCAAAAAACAAATAGCACCGACTAAACTAAAATATAATAGGTCAAACGCGTGTTGTGGGGTATTTATTTATAGTTTGTTTATAGTTTGAGAACGGCAGATTACGAGGTTAAAGTTAGAAGTTGATTTAGCATTGGTAGTTGAGTTTCTAAAATACATACTAAAAACAAATATAACCGACTAAACCTAAACATCATAGGTCAAACACCTGCGTAACCACATTATTACGGCAAATCCATAAGATTTTAATACGTTTGGAACATGGAGATGCTTTAAAATTAAGCGACTTACGTGCAATTGAAAGAAAACATAGTCGACTTTTTAATTCTTTTTTTACTGCCAACACAATAATTCTTCATTAAACAATTGTCTTCCTATCTTCTACCAAAAAAAAAAGAAAACAATTACCAAAAAATATCAGTCAAAACTGTAAATTGTCTATGGTAGAGAGATTTTTTTTTCCAACATCATTGTTTACAAAAAGACAAGGTAACGGCTCAGAATCTCCTTTAATATTGGAACAGTGAGAGATTTTAATTAAAAAAAAAGACGAAAATATTTTTCTATCTGCTTGGATCTCCGCTAGATAAATAGCGAAAGTCGGCCATTGCAAAAATTGTAGAAAATACAGTAAAAATATTATAAAATTATTTACCAATAAATTTTTTATGGAAGATGGTTAATAAATTCATTTGACTAAAAGTACCAAGAACACTTCCACTAAAAATTACCAAAAAAATATCAAAAATAATTCTTCATTAAAGGTTACCAAAAAATATCAGTGAAACTGCAATTTGACTAGAATTTTTATGGTAGAGAGTTAAATACAAGCCTAATAAACTAGTCAAAGTTAATATAAGTACTTACCAATAGTATTTTATGGAAGATTGTTAATAAGATCATTGACTACACTATATATATCTGAGTACCATGTCTTCTAATGGCTCACCCCTCACCTTTCTAAATAACTTAATCAAAGCAGAATTTGAGTGACCCAATCAAGGTTTTCTTCTCTCCAAACTTTCAAGGTAATTAATGTAGCAAATCTTTCTGGTTAACCTAATAATTAATCAAGTGAAACATATTGTTAATCACCGTATTTATCATTGCCATTGATACTTTATTATAAGCATATTAAAAATGAAGAAAAACATTCATTTTTATATTGTTAACCGTTGATTTATCCTTTTTTTGTGATTGGAATCTACAGCACAAGATGTCGAAAGAGGAAGCTAGAATTGCCCGAGAAATGTTGATGCTATCGAAGTATCAAGCTCCTAGGATTGAAGAAAGCTTGAGCCGATCTGAGTCGACCATCCAACCCAAACTCCCTGACCTGAATATGATGTATGATCCAGAAAGAGAAGAAGAAGGAAGAGAACTAGTTAAAGCACTTGAGAATCTCACAAATCCTGAATCTCAAGATGCTGCACACTATGGTATTTCTAAGCTTTACTCCGAGCTTGAGGTCGAGATCTTTGCCCGTGTTTCATGTACTCAATACTGGAAACTAAATTTTCTCAACAAGGAGTTTTCGCAGTTGCTACAAAGCCGTGAGATCTTTAAAGTGAGACGAGAACTCGGACTAGTGCAACCGTACGTTTTCATGTTTTCAGGTGGTGACACTTGTTGGACAGTTTTTGGTCAAGATTTCAAGAACTTCCGACAACTTCCTGAGATCCCTTCTGACACTTGCTTCCTTTACGGAGATAAGGAAACAATTTGTGCTGGGACGCATCTGATTGTCATCGGTAAGGAGGAGAAATCTCTTGTGGTGTGGCGATACGAGATGGAGATGGACAAGTGGATCAAAGATGAGATGATCACACCGCGAGTCATGTATGCTTCCGCGAGTCATGGGACCAATGCTTTTTTCGCTGGAGGGATCAACATAAGCGAGAATGGGATCCCTGAAGTTGTGAACGTAGCTGAAAGGTATGATTCTGAAACAAAAACATGGAAAGCGATGAAAGCGATGCATAAAAGGAGAAAGTCCAGCTCCGGGTTTTTCTTGCGAGGAAAGTTTTATGCTCTCGGTGGTCGAAATGAGAATGAAGTGTACCTAACTTGTGGAGAAAGGTACGATGAGATGACAGATTCATGGACTTTGATACCAGATATGCTCAAAGGCATGATGTTCGAGGCTTGTCAGTCCCCACCACTTATCGCAGTGGTCAACGACGAACTCTATTTGCTGGAATCATGGTGCAACGAGGTATGGGTTTATGATATGAACGCAAACGCTTGGAAAAATCTTGGAGTTGTGCCTGTGAGAGCAAATGCTGCCTATGGTTGGGGAGTTGCATTTAAGTCAGTTGGAGATAGGCTTTTGGTGATTGGAGCTTCGTCTGCTCAGCCGTCGAACAAGACAATGTCGGTGTACACATGTCGCCCGTCGGAACAGATGGTTTGGGAGGAAAACAAGCATTGTTGTGATGGTGTTCAGCTCGATCATTTCATCCGGAACTGTTGTGTGATGTTTACTTAAGGTTTCTTTAGCAACATGTGTTCGTTTCTGTTTTTTTTTGTTTTTGCGTTTTTATGTTTTATGTTTGGAATAAGTTGCGGCGATCATAACGCCAAAACATAGTTGTGTTTTCGAATGTTTCTCTCTTGTGTTTGCGTCTAGTGTTTAGACGTTAAACGCTAGTGTTTCTGTGTCTTGTTTTAATAAAGGTTTGTTTGCATGTTATAGTTTTGTTGTTTCTCCTCTTTGGTCATAAACTGAAGTTGTTAATTTGTTAAATAATGCATACCAAACCAAAAGGCTAAAAGCCCATATAGAATGGTCTTCTCTTCCATAATTTCTATTGGGCCAACAACTTTACCTAAAGCCTCATAAGACCCATGAAAAAAGAAACACTGAGATAGCCATTGTGTTTTCATCAGCTATCCTAATCCAATACAGAAAGCCACATCAAGAAAAAGTCACAAGTAGAATGGAATGTGTATACATCAATGTTAAAAGTCACATTATATAATGTCGGTTAGACAATTTAAACAAGTTTACTAAATAAAAAGACAATTTAAAGAAGGTTTACTAAATAAAAAGATTAACATATAAGGGAATTTGCGTGTAATTTGGTTCTTTTCTTTATATGCAATAATAATAATAACAAGAAGATAGAAAATTTCCAACAATTGAAGAGTTGAAGTTATCTCTACACAACTGATTTTAATTTGGTCCACACAAGCTTCACTTTTAGGGATTTATTCTTCTTGACTTTTTTGACTATTCCTTGTCCCGCAAGTATATTCCTCTTCTTGTTATATCCTTTAAGCAACCTTTTTATTTTTTCATTTCCTTGGTTCCTTCTTCTTCTTCTCTCTCTCTGTTGTAAAGGTCTCATCAATCCACGGCTGAGATGAAGCGAGAAGGCAAGCAGCACGGCATGGTGAGGACTTACCGGGTTCTTCCTCCGTCACTGAACCCTAGGCCGGAATCGAAGTTGGTCAACCCTTTGACTTCACGCCCTACCGCTGGATTGTTTACCAAAGTGCCATCAAAGCCGACCAATCACTCCAAATTCACGGGGAAATGTGGTCAAGCGAGGTGCCTTGAGTGCCATATGCATCCCATCACCAAGTCCAAAGTGAAGACCAAAGGCTCTTCTAAGGTGAGATCAAATGATGTCACCTACAAGATGCTGACTTGGCAGGTCGCTGCGGGTGGTGCGGCCAGACCCGGTTTGAAGCTTTCCGGTTTCTCGGCTACCGGAATCCTTGATCTTATGTCTGATGATTATGGTTATGATCATGATTATGAATATGATGATGAAGAAGAAGAATATGATGATGATGAAAACAGAGGAAGTGCTGTTGTAGAAGAAATTGTGAAAATACAGAGTGATGATGATGATGGTGATGCTGAAACAGAAGAAGATAAATCACGTGATGATGATGATGAAGAAAGGATGAGTTTTTGTGATGTTGGGATGATGATGATGATGGATCATGTTGAAGAATTTGATGAAGAAGGATGGTGTTTGGTTGAAGAAATGATGACTTAATTGATCAATTTGATTATTATCCCCCCAATAATTGTCTTTGCTTTTGCTTTTGTAAATTTTATCAGTTTTAATAACTTTGGGGATGAATGATTTTTATCTTTGTAATTCTGATTTGATTCTTAAATCAAAAACTATGATTTATAATTGTAATTTATGTAAAGTTGAAACCTTTTCTCAACAACTCACACCACCTCCAAATCAGAACAAAAGTTTCAACAACTAAAACTTATAATAACTTGGGAATGTCAGAGTGTAAAGTTCATACCTTTACTGAACAACTCATTCCATTATATATCAGAACTGAGGTTCCTGCATTCACATCTCAATGAACAAGAATATAATATAAAGGTATTGAATCACATATAAGATTATGAAAGGAGAAAGTTTTTGTTTCATTGAAGATGAAGATACATACATACAACAAAAGGTTTCAAAAGATACAATACCAGGAAAATTATTTTTAAAAAACCTTCTTCTGCTATTCAGTTTTGTTGCTACTGTGCACTCAAAGATTCCCTTTTTTATACCATACTCGAATCCGAGGACAGATCTTTCTAAAAGCTTTGAAAGCCAACAGAGAAGGTTCAGTCTTTCTATTTGCAAGTGTTCTCAGAGATTTCTCTTCTTTGTTTTGGTGTTTTACCTTTTTCTTGATGCTTCTGTTTCCTCGACCAGCTCAGGTTTGAAGCAAAGCCATAGAGACGGTTTGTTTGGTTTCTTATCTGTCTTTCTCTGAAATAATAACGCAGCTAATGTTAGTATACACATGACTAATAGAAATGAGAAATGCCTTCTTCTAATGATGTGTTGAAATTGAAATCTTACCTTCTTCTTAGTCGGGTTTTGATCTCCAGTTTTAGTTCCCATCAAACAGCTACATCAAGACAACAGTTTACATTAGGACAAGAACATCAATTCAAATGTACATTGATTCAAGTAGAAAAAACAAATCAGTCATACCTCAAGAAACTAAATTTAGGACTAACTGGTTTTTCGTTCTTCTTTGACGAACTACGAGTTATCGGTTTTTCACTGCAAAATCACATTATAAAACAATCAGATGGAGTAAAAAATTATCTAGACAAAGCAATCAAAGCAGCTTTTATTACCTTATTGTATGTGAGGAAACAAGCTCCATTGCTTTGGCCGGAGTTTCTGAAATTGTTGATGTCTCTATAGACATTCTAAAGACCGATGAGTTCTTGGTTACGGATCTTCTCTCTTCTTCTTTTTCTCCAACGAAACAGCTCTTCTTCAACAACTCTTCATCCTCTGAGTGATTCTCTTTCTCTTTCTCTTTATCGTCACAAACAACCTGCAAATCATCTGTAGCCACGGGTTTAACTAACGAGTTATCCATTTCAGCGTCTTCTTGTTCCAAAACCGCAACACTTTTTCTTCCGGGATCTTCATCTATTTCAATACTCAACACCAACTCTTCGCTAATCATGACTAACTCAGTATCATCACTCTCTTCTTCTTCCTTAACCTCATTCTTAGTCAATGTCTCCAAAGTGTTAAGCAACACCACAACACTTTCTGGTTCTTGTTTAGGATCAGATTCATCAGAAGCTTTAGCTTTCTTGGCTTCAGCTATTTTCTTGTAATGAGCTTCAAAGAAAGCTTTCTTCTGAGCAACAGATCCAGGCTGAGAGAACTTCTCTGCTTCATCAACATACTTCTTATGTGAGAAACTTGACCACTTCCCCCATTCAAGATTCTCAGTCATGAACCTACCAAATGAAACTGATTGACCAAGCGCATAATTCGGATTATCCTGCAATTCCCAAACCGGAAACAAAATCAGAATCTTACAATACTAAATTTATAAACTTTCTTACAAATCAAAATCATTAGCTCCAACTCAGCCCCAATTTAGACACTTTCAATAAATCAACCTCAAGATTCATATCTATCAACGAGGTATCAAGCTAACCCTAAAGTTTGAAACTTTACATTCTGGATCAAGTTTGTTGATTCAAATGCATCATTGATTCAAGAACTCAAACCAAATGCATCATTGATTCAAGAACTCAAACCAAATGCATCATTGATTCAAAATCAGATTCTTATCGATCTACAAAAACTCAAACCAAATTTATAAACTTTCTGGTAAAAACCAACTGTTTCTAATCAAAATCATTAGCTAAAAAAAAACTCAAACCCCAATTCAGATACTTTTAATAAATCAACCTCAAGATTCATATCCATCAAAGAGCTATCAAGCTAGCCCTAAAGTTTGAAACTTTACATACTAGATCGCCACAGAAACAATGAAAACATTCGAAATTTTTGAAAGAAATCAAAATAATGATAGAAACAAACCTCAAGAGATTCATTACGAGAAGGAGGAGCAGCGAACGAGTAGGAATGATGAAACAGAACAGCAGATTCACCCATTGTCTCAAAATCTAAAATTTCTTCTTTGGAAAACCAAAAGATCTCTCTTTCTCAACCAAAGGGAATAAATAAAAATCGAAGCTTTTCTTCTTTTTTTTTGTCTTTGGGGTTCTCACCTAAACGGCTATAGAGGAATTTTTTCGAAATTTAAAAAACAAATATTTTGTTTTTATTTTGACAGCCTTTCGAAACACATGTTTTAGGAGAATTTTGTTGAGATCTGGGTCCCACAAAACAGGTAAAGAAATTAAAATTGAAACTTTGAAAACTCAGAATTTTTTTAAATTTAATAAAATAACATGAGCAAATTTTATTTTGAAAGTTTGATAGAAATTTTCGAGAAAATTGAGGATAAATTATGTAACAGAGGAGTCTAACAAGAATGAATTGTTTCTCCTATAGTTGTTGATATGAAGTGGCTGAGAATAAAAACAAAAAATTAATGGTGATAAATTATTTAAAATGCCTAACGCGTTTTAGGAAGAAAAGAAAACGAAACTCTGTAATCTAAACTGAATTCCGAGTAAATTTTAAATATGTTTACGGGTTTTAAAACTATTTTTGTTATTGTTTTTACTAAAATAATATGTGATATTCTAGGGAAAAAAAAACATTTTATATGCTTATATGCTTACATTTGATATATTTTCTTTTGTCTGGAAAACATTATATTAAATCTGCTTTAGAATGAGATATTAGAAGAATAAATCTGTGTACATAAATTGTACTACTTAACAACAACAAAAAAGAAGGGAGAGAGATAAATATGATTTATTTAGGAGTAAGTGAATGTGATTAAAGGGTTGGTGTACTTTTGTAACTCCAAATAAACACAAGCTTTGAAGTACAAACAAGTGATGTTGTTAGAATACATTACACTTCTCAAATCTCAACCATCATCACGTAATAATGCAACTACTTTTCTTACTAAACATGTAAAAACTAATATGTAATTGTATGGAAAAGTCTCAACTCCATTTTCACCTTAATTAGGAGCAGATTTGTAATAATGAGAGCTGAGAGTATAAAACTATAAGTTGTGCAAGCACACACCAACATTTGCCAAATCATATGAGTCTTTGTTGTTGTGAAGTAGTATCTCATGCCGTACGTGGAAAAAGAGCGGTATCAGTTACCTAGTGATTGTAGAGTTCATCGAGACAATGACATTTATAGAGAACAAGAAGAGCACAAAGTGCATTCAGATATAAACGAGTGGCGTTGTGGATTCTGCAAAAAGACCTTTTACGAAGAGAAGTATATCGACAAGCATTTCGATTCACGACATTACAATTTGCTTAACGCGGTACATGTCTATGCATTATTGCTAATGATTCGTATATATGTGGCTGTTCTTACTGTTTGGTGTCTATAACAATTCGTATCTTATGTCCACAGTAATGGTAAATGTCTAGCGGATCTTTGTGGAGCATTGCATTGTGATCTTGTTGTAGATACGGCTCCGATTAAGTTTTAAATCGGAAGTATAAAGATTAGCATAATATTTTATTTGTTCAGCATTTGGTATTAAGATGGGGGAATTTCAAAAGTACCCATTTTCATATAACTCTTTTTAAAAACACCCACTTTTCAAACTTTATCAAAAAAACCACTAAAAATGTTGAAATTTATTCAAATATGTGTGTAAACTTATAAATATGTACACAAATTACCTTTATATGTGTATAAAACTTTATATACCTTTCATAAATAGCGTAAAAATAAATTATAAAAACCTTATAAAAACCTTATAAAAACCTTATAAAACCCGTATAAACCCTTTTAAAAACCTTTTAAAAACCTTATAAAACTTATAAAAACGATTTAAAACTATTTAAAACATTTTAAAACATTTGTATCGAATCTCCCAGTAGTAGTTATTATATATAAATACCTTATAAACTATATAAAACTTTATAATTTTGTATATTTAAAAAGGGGTATTTTTGAAAATGGATAGATAAAGGGGTATTTTTAAAAAGGGGTACAACAAAAGGGGTATTTCTCAAAAATTCTCTAAGATCAAACCTTTTGAGTATCTCGATCCTTTAAGTGATAAACAAAAAACAATTAAATAAAAACGTGGATAATTTCGAAGCAAATAATAATCATTTGTATTTTATTTTTTCATACGTTAAAAACTGTTTCATTTTAATAATACTCTACCCTATATATATAAAATGTTTCAAACCCTAAGATAGACACCAAATCTCAAATAACCTTTCCTCCCATTTTTCCCAATGATTAACTTGTCGAAAGAAACGAGAAGAAAACGAAGATTGATTCGTGAAGGAAAACAAAAGATTGATCATGATGTACGTACAGAGCTGATCTTTACGATCTCTCGAGTGTTCACAGCTGATGACGACAAAGATGTTTTGAAACTGAACTATGGCTTTAACCGCTATATGGTTATGGCATGGACAGACGAGACAGAAGAGTACATAACAAGAGTGGTAAGGGGTTTCACAAACCAATATGTAATGTTTAATGAAGAACTTGTGATTCCTTTAGATTCTCCTAGACGTTATCTTTACATTGAATTGGCTAGAGGATTCTCGTCGCGTGAACCTTCCACATCTACCAATATTGTTGTAAAGGGTCGTGCAAAAATTCGATTGCCTCCTCTAAACAGCAACTTTGGTGAGATCTCCGGTGTTGTCGATCTCGTTGGTTTGGACAGTGATCGATCATGTGTCGTTATAGGAGCCCTAAAATATTCTATGAGACTTCATAGGTTTGTGGTACTATGAATATTTATCATCACTTTTTCTTGTTGATTGAAGGAATCATGGTTTTAATTTCAGTTTCTAATTATTATTTTTTCATTTTGGTTATTATTCTGGTCTTAATTAATTACTCAGAATTTTTTTTTTAATATATATAACTTCCCGTTGATTTGATATAATATCATTCTTTTGTTGAAGATTTATCCTATCTATTCGTTATATATATTATCTGCACTCAAAATATATCTTTTTTTTTTTTTAATTCAAAAGAGATACCGATCGATTCATATATGTGACAACTTAGCAAATACATCAATAACTTAGTACACTGACCACAGCTACACATACAAATACAGATATTATTTACGATCAAATATAATCTATAAAATTTGGCAAACCATATACAACTCTTGCATTGAAATTCATATTCGTGGTAGGGTTCTTCATCTAATTTAGAAAGCATGCAAAATTCGTTATGAAGCATTTAGCTTTGTGCGGAATATGTATATTCGTTATGTCGCTGAGTTTATGAAGCATAATATGAATTATGTCTAGTGTTTAATTTAAGAGAATTTAAGAATCTAAAAGTATTAATATGATGAAGATTTAGACTTATCAATTGTTAGAATAACTAATTGAATTGTGTCTAGAAACTTACAATTAAAGCCCTAGTCTTGATAATCATCAACCACGGTTTTCTCGATCATTTTCTATATTGAGCCGTTTGTTCGTTTTAAGGTGACTTTAATTTAATTAGGGCCAAACTTAATTTAATACAAACCAAATCTCACTCAAACACAACGACGTGGGACATACGTTAGAGATGACGTGAAGACTTAAAAGAAGTTGGAGATAAGTGGATCCTACTTTTTTCCCAGTGTAATAAGTCCAATATGACTCAAAGTCGTCAAGAGACACTAATCGAATCATAGCCTCGTCTCTTTCAACCTCAACTTAGAACGATCCACAAACAATACACACACACACACAAAACAAAAAGTATAAATAAAGTGTATAAACTCAAAGCACTAAAAATAATTAGTAACTAAATAATTACATTAAATATAACAAGCAAGGTATCCGAATTTTCTATTTGCTTTGCTACTTTGTTTTTTCTTTTTCGTTTGGCAAAACTAAAATCTTTTATATGTTTCAGCTGCATGTTATAATTAAACACTCTTCGAATATAAATTACTACGGCACTACAGTATAACGTGGATCAATATATGCATATAGGCATTGTATTACTTATATGTGACAATAAGACCAAAGAGTTTTAGATATTTTTTTATGGATGGGTTTTAAATGGAATGAGACATTAGATTAACCGGTTAGTTTAACACAAAGAAGAGGTCTTTATCTAAAACCTTCAACATCAAAGTTCGTAAATTTCCATAATCGTATTTGAGCAAGAAGAAGAAAGTTGAAAATTTTCTCAAAGAAAACAAAAAAGAAAGGCAAAACACGAACCCCATATTTATCTGTCTTTTGTCTTTATCAGAGAATTTAAAGAAAAAGAAAAGGAAAAAAAGGAAAAACTAAAAATATAGATTATACTATTCTTTACCAAAATTCATAAACCTAAAAATCTTTGTATAACCCTAATAAGACAGAGATAGTAAGAAAGAACTAAAATATTTTGCTTCGTCTTTGTATTTTGAATTAATTCTCAGCCATCGCCGCCGTTTACGGCGGTGCAAAAGATGAAGAACCGTAGGAAACGCGGCGGTTTAAACGGTGGAGACGTCGTTGTTTCGTGGAGAAGATTCTTCCAGTTCGTTGCTTTGTTCGTCTTCTCCTTCCTTATCTTCTCTGCTTTGTTCGTCTTCTTAGGTAATCAAAAAATTAATCAAAAGACAGTTTTACGTGGTTCTGAACCGGCGGCGGTTAAGGTGGCCACGATCCATGAAGCAGTTGTGTTTCCCGACCAAACCTTGATTTTCCTAAACTACCCTCCTTCTTCTCGTTTATTAACAAAAGAGGACCTCTTTTGCGTATTCTCCGACGTAAAAGATTCATCTAAGTCATATAAAGAGCTTCCCTTCGCCGTGGAAATCGACGACAATGGTCGTCAGATCGTACGGTGTTCCGCCGTGCCACGTGGTAGTACCGTATCCCTCGCCGTCTCGAGATGGTCGGTGGGTGATAATAACCTCCTCGTAGAAACCACACACCGGTGGGATTGGCTTGTCTACGACGCCGTGATCGACGACGACAATTCCACGGTGGTTTTTGTCAAGGGCTTAAATCTACGGCCAGGAAAGGTTGCCGACGTGTCGAGGTATGAGTGCGTCTACGGTTGGGATTTAGCAAAGCCTAAACTTTTGCTTAGGACACAAGTTATCTCTGCGGCCCAAGAGATCGTGAGATGTAAAACCCCACTAACAGTTTTAGAAGGTCCAAGAACGGCCCAACCCGTGAAAGTATCTGTGAGAATCAAAGGAAGTGGGATGCTTCCTTCTGTTGCCCACCCGATCAAACGTCCGGGTCGGGTCAAAGATTCGAAACCGTTTGAGACGTGCGTTTGCACCATGACGCGGAACGCAGCAAACGTTTTGAGAGAATGGGTGATGTACCACGGCGGAATCGGCGTTCAACGGTGGTTCATCTACGACAACAACAGCGACGACGACATTGTTGCCGAGATCAAGCATCTAGAAAACCGCGGTTACAACGTCTCGAGACATTTTTGGCCGTGGATCAAAACGCAAGAAGCCGGATTCGCCAATTGCGCGATTCGAGCAAAAAGCGATTGCGATTTGGTCGCGTTTATCGACGTCGACGAGTTCTTCTACATCCCGTCCGGTCAAACCTTAACCGACGTAATCAGACACCACAAAACAGCAGGACCATTGTCGTCGTCCGGCGAGATCGGTGAAATTCGAACGCCGTGTCATAGTTTCGGACCGTCGGGACTTAGAGATCCACCGCGTGACGGAGTCACGACGGCGTACACGTGTCGTATGTCGTTGCCGGAGAGGCACAAGAGCATAATTAGACCGGAGTCGCTAAACGCGACGCTGATAAACGTCGTGCACCATTTTCATTTGAGAGAAGGATTCGCGTTTGCCGACGTGGACAAGGGTACGATGGTGATTAACCATTATAAGTATCAGGTTTGGGATGTGTTCAAGGAGAAGTTTAAAAGGAGAGTGGCGACTTACGTGGCGGATTGGCAAAACGAAGAGAACGTCGGGTCGAAGGATCGGGCACCCGGTTTAGGAACCCGACCCGTTGAACCGTCTGATTGGGCGGAGCGGTTTTGTGAGGTGAATGACACTGGACTTCGGGATTGGGTGTTGGAAAATTACAGGGAACGTAAAACGCAGCGTTTAGTGTGGGAGAGAGAAGGGAGGAGAGTGGAAGATGAAGTTATAGTTCAAATGGGCTCGTGGGCTGATAAAAGGATTGGTCGGAAGAGGAAAAAACAATTGAAAGCCCAATAGGTTTTTTGTTTTAAATTTTCCATCGGTGAAAATAACAATGTAGAAATGATTTGTAAATAACGATTTGCTTCCCGTGGAAAAATAAAATAAAAAACAAATTTTATACAGATTTATTTATTTATTTTTGTTTTAACAAGAAAAAAAACATGGTGATGGTGATTATGATAATCAACTTATGATTGTCATAATATGGTGTACACTAACTAATCATCACTGTAATGTCATTAGTCGGCGTTTTGTTTCCCACATGGCTGAGCATAATGCAGCTTTCATTTTCTTGCAAAACCAAAAACACCTTTTCTATTATTTATTTTTTTACATTCATTCTTGATTATACTAAAATTTGTTATGCATGATTTAACTTATTGTAAAACTAAATCCGTAATGAACGTGATTATCTTCACTAACGTCACTATTTAGCTCACTTCTTCTTATTTACTCTCTTAGTATATTTAAACATGTACACGTATGTATAATTGTATTCTAGAATTTTTCCTAACTAAAAAGAATTGGCTTCACGTCTTTTTATTCTATTGCTTAACACAATCGAGATTTTAATTTTATATAATCCATAATTTTATTATATAATTTAGGAATAGTAAATGCTATATGATTCCCATAATTAAAGGTTAAATTGTTTTTGTGAAGCTAATGTTTACCTTACCTTCATTGCTTACTTACCCCATAAGAAGCCCATAAACAATAACATTCACTTTTAAAAACTTTAAACAAAGATTACAAAACTTCAATAAAACCCCATTTAAAACTTTCTGATTCTTCAAAATATTTACAACTTTTCTTTTTTTAAAAAATTTAATAAATAATTGGCCAATTATAGGAACGTGATAGACAGAATCAAATATAATCTTAAACAGCTGTCTTGATTAATGCATCAAAAGCCGGGGCCAATTCAACAAAATAAATAGAAACCAAAAATGAAAAATCTTATTTTTAGACTCAAAAAGAAAACAGTAATTTTTTAATTTTATTTTTTAAAGATATTGCAATTAATTTGCAATAAAATCATAGAAATATAAAAAAGTTTTTATTTTATTTTTCTCTCTATATAAACAAATCTCCACAATCCTATGAACACAACAAACACCACAAATCTTTTTTCTCACTTTCATCAGAACCAAAACTCATAACACAACAACGTTTTTGAGACATCTAACAATGATGATGATGAAGAAGATGTTTATTCAGATCGCTGTGGTTTGTCTACTGGCGACGATGGCCGTAGTCTCCGCCCACGATGGTCACCACCATGCTCCGGCTCCAGCACCAGGACCTACATCCAGCTCAACCGTTGTTTCCGCCACTAATATGTTCACCGTCTTGGCTGTTGCTGCCGTGGCTCTCTTCGTTGGTTCCAACCACTAAGTTTGTGGTTCATTACTTTCGTTGTTTTGGTTCAATTTCTTTTTTTTTTTCTTTTTTGATTAAAACTTCTCATTTGTTATAATGTTTATTTGATGATTTCATGAATAAATAACTCTTTTGAACGTGTTTTTTATATTTGTGGGATATGTGTAGATTTGGAATTCCAAATCTGTTTCTTAGGAAACGATTAAGCCACCGTTTAATTTTGCTACAAGATCTTCAAAAAAACAATTGGAATCTGTTATGAAAATACTTTTCATCAAAAGTTTTGTCTATACATTTTTTTTTTTTTAAATCCAAAAATATAACGAAAATCTTAAGTTTAATACTCCTCCCGTTTACGAGTTTGTTTTCAATGTTACTAAGCAGTATTAATTAAGGAGTACAAATAGTAAATTATAGTTCTTAGTTTTATTTTTTTTGGTAAAATCAAATGAAAATTTTGATAATTGGTAGTAATAACTAATAAGTACCAAAATATTATGATAAACAAATGAATCGTAGATTAAACTATTCTTCTCTATTTTCTTTACATCTAAAAAAAATAAAACAAAACAATCAAATCTGTATTTTGTTAGAAAGCCAAATATTAGAGAGCATTGCTTCTACCTGAGCTAGAGGTTTTTTACACACACTTGACACACAAAACAAATAGCCTTCCTCAAGAGTTCTTCATTACCAGCAAATCCAAGATAAATTAAGAAGGCCTTGTTAATTGGCAAATAACTGAAACTCCCTTTGTCTGAGACCAAGAGGCTTCAAATTCCCTAAGAAGAGAGTTGTTGAAGAACACACGTGTTCATAGTTTTTGTCTGATTCACGGCTGCTTCCTAATGCTCCATTAAAGCGGCTTCAGTTTCTGACAGAGGAGCTGCAAAAGGTAAGTGAATGGGTTAATAAACTTAATGAACTCTGTGAATGGCCCCAAATGTCAGATCCTAGATGCTGTAATTGTGCCATCTACGCATAATTTAGAGAAAATCTACATCTATGCCATTTCTAGTGCGTCCTTTCTATATAGATGATTAGATTATCATTAAACATATGTGACTATGAGGATAATTAACGTACCTAACAAGTCTTCATAGGCATCTGATAATAGGGACGAGTCCATTAGTAAAGGAGGGGAAAATACTTGATCATCAACGTCGTAAAATGATTGTTGTGCATCAGAAGCTACACTGTTTGATCCAACAACCGAGAGAAACCCATTACCGTTATCGTAATCTTTGAATGAATCTAGATCATCATACGTGTCAGGTATATCGCTGTACTTGCTTGGCGCGAAGCTATCAGGAACATTATGTTCAAGAAACGAAGGCTCGCTCAGAGAGGTAAGTGCCCTCGAGCCTCTGAGAGGTAGGCCTTTAGAGTCTGATGGAAAACGGGAAAAGCCAGTTGCAGAAAGAGGTACAAAATAATGCTCGGAGCCCTCATCTGATTGACTGTCCCGTGATGATCCTGCTGAAGAAGGAATCAATAATGCCGCTTCCCTCACAGATTTTTTCAGGTTTTGGACAAAAGAGCTGCTAGTATCTGAACCAAAATCAGAGTTTAAATTTGAATTAGAAGAAAACACATACTGTGATCACGTAAATGAACAACATTCTCTGACAAACCGATTTGACGAAAATGAGGCAGTCATAGATTAGTTAGAACTGGAATAGGCCTAGAATTGATGATTGACATCAAAACTAAAAGCGTGGAAATTTTACATCAGCAATTATATGTTTCGTTTTTATAGCGAAGGTAGTTATCATTTATGTAACATACCAGTTGGCAAGTTGTCTGGTCGAGCATTTGATAGTGCTTGGTCTGTAGAGTTCTTCTCAGACAAGCTTTCCATTTTATTGACCTGCAAAGCCATAGTCTGTCGCTTTTGTGCATTTCCACCTTTACCAGAAGAAGTAGGAGTGGAGCTAAATAACTGAGGAAGCTTTAATGTAGGACTAGCTGAGACCTTCTCGAGCTGAACATTAGACATTGTCGAGGTCAGCTCAGTAACATCATTGGATACACCTTCCTGTATCATAAGGAAAAAAGGTACATGAGCGTCTCAATAAAATTCTGCATCGGAAGATAATGTTAATTAAGTCATCCATTGTTACCATAATTCTCCCACTGCCCTGAGATTGTAAAAGTGAAGATGCTTGCCCATTACTTCTCGTAACTGGAGGTAAGGTCGGGGGAAGACTATTAACCTTCTCAGTACATTCTGATATGGACTTTTGTATGGCTGGAGAAACCTCCTTCAATTGGTTGATAAGTACCTGCATATAGTATGCCATCAACAGTACGAACATAGAGAGATTCAACCAGTAACTAAAATTTTGTGTGTATGCTCCAAGAGATCCTACAAATATCGTGGTAATATAAATGATCTCGCAACTTTTGATACTCTCCCAAGACAAGCTGAATCATAATAACCACAATCATAATGGAACTTCAGGGATCTCCTATTAAACAAAATGCCTTGCTTTAAACAAAATATAATTGTTAGGAAAGCAGAATTTTTTTAACAAAAATTGATACTGATGTGGGTTTTATCTATAAGCTTTGAGCATTTGACTTCCACAGTTGGCCAAAAGCGAAATCTAAACAAGGGAGCAAACAAGCTTACAAATTTACCTGAAAGCTAGCTAAATGTTGTTGATGTTCAGTCAAAGTTGCAGCCAATGATTCAACATGCCCACTTGTACCACCATCATTCGCAGTCCGTAAAATATCTGGACCATCCCCGTCATTTGCTTTAGCCTAGAAACATATACAGATGCTAAGTATAAATCCGTGGAACTAAACTCACAGAAAACAGAATGTAGAACATTAAAGCATTGCATGCCATCATGTAATTAATGAGAATGTAAAACATACTTCAGGGAAAAAAATCCCATACAACTCATGAGAAGACATACCAGAAGCAGAGACTGTTTATGAATACGCTGTAATGCATGTGTCCAGCGCCTTATGACTTCTGCTACATCGACTGTCTGGTTGATTTTTCCACCTCTATCATCTACTCGAGAAAGTGTTTCATCACTTGCTTGTGAGCTGGCTGATTCAAAACTGTCTACTAAAGAGTGGTCATTCATGTTTGCATATGATCCATCACTTAGTTCCTTGTCATCCGCAAGTGAAAAAGCTGAATCATCTGAATGGGCAGAGAGTAGTTCTGCACGAGGAACTTGAGAACTCTGATCCATCGCTGCAAGTAGGGCCGAACCTGAAATTCGGTATCTATAGATCAAAGAAAACCAGATGTCAGTAAATGGGTAAGTGGAATTCAGGCTGTATTTTTTACAAGAAGCCAGTTACCTATGCTCCCTGTGAGCTATCAAATCCTCAATGGGACCTGACGCAAGAACCTCGTGTTGACCTGAAGATAGTGACAAAAAAAACAAAAATATAAGCTATATAACACCTGTGTAATTCATAAAATGAGTACTTATCTCTTTATTGACTCTTCAAAACAAACAGAACACTAGAACAGCATAAAACCTTACCTTTACGAGCCATTATAGAATCCCATAACCGAGTTCCCTTTGAAACTAGATGAGAATTCTGACTGGAGCTAGACACAAGGTCATCCCATACTTCTCCTTCCTGCTTCACTTTGTTTCTCAAGTCATTAAGTTTCTCAAGTTCCTGTTGCAGGTAAGCCTGATGCAAACAAAACGTGAAATGAAATGCATCAATACAAGCCAATTATAATCAGACGAGACAATTGGTTACCTCTCACCAAAAAAAATAACGTCTTACCTCTTCAGCACAGAGACCACGGAATTCTGCAGTCATCTCATGGGCTAAATTAGACCACATGGCTTGTCTTTGTACAGCAGTCTCGGCATTTTTCAGAAACCGACGACGCTCAAGCACAATCCGGGCCTGAAAATCCATTTACACGCACAATTCTATGTTACCCCGTGCACCAGTCAACAAGGTTCACATAAACCAATGAAAGTATAACACACAATCTTGAAGGTGATACTTTTGGTACTACCTTAGTTACAGGAAGCAGAGTAGCTGCATGTGAGAAGGATACGTCTGTTAGAGAAGAAGGCAGAGGATTAGAAGCCACATCAGCAGGAAACGTCCGCCTATGAACCTCTCTTAATGCATGTAGTGAAAGTTGCCATAAGAGCTCCACAAATCTGCACTCAAACAAGAGGTACCACATATACATATTAGATCACATGTAGCAGAAATGGCTAACTAAGTAGAGAAATTATGCCTAAATATTCCCAACGAATACGACGCAGAAATGACTAATTAGTTGGTCATTATCAAGCACTGGAAAGAAACCTCAAATGGAACATAAACATAAGCATCACAATAGCGTGACCTCAACCAACCTTGGTCCACAGCAAGTGGCTAGTGATGAAACCCTCGAATTACTCCTTGGTAATGCCCCTTGTGATTCAAGCTCGCTTATAATCGCTTGAACAACCTTCAGATACATAATTCTAGTGTTAAGTAAACTATGAATTCAGCCAAAAAAACAAATTGCTCACAAACACCAAAGAAACATGATTTCTCAACTCCTTTACCTTACGGAAATCGCGAGATTGAGCCGAATCGAAAATTGGCCAAACCTTATCAAAATCCTGAGAGATCAAGACAAAACCAAAATCAAACGAATGATTCCAAAATCGTGCAAAACCCAGAATTCCAAAACCAATTTCGTAACGAGTGAGCCGAGAGAGAGAGAGAGAGAGATGGAGAGAAAGGGATAGAGTGAAGATAGAAATCGTACCTTTGCAGACTGAGCAGGGCCACGAAGAGAGGAGAGGATGAAGTAGAGAAGCTGTTCTCCGAGCTTTGGATTGGAATGGCGAAATAACCCGACCCGAGGCGTGCCATTGGAGGCTCCGAGTCCGATCACGTTCGGATCCAAACCTAAAAGCAAACAGTTTGTGTACATTGCACTCTCGAGCTCAAGTTCTCTCTCCTTTTCTCTGTCCATCGTCATCACCGTCGTCGCCTCCGATCTTCTTCTCTCCTCTTCAATTTTTCCTTTTCGATTTTTTTTTCCCCTTTTAATTGAATCTCGATCGAAATGTGTTGTTTCCGGCGACTTTTTAAATTTTAATCCCTTAGCATATTTATTTTTGCAGATATTGCCCCTATGTTTTATAA